GTAAATTTTTATGTCAACCTTATAACGGACCTAATAAAAATGGGCCTCTATTGGACTTCAGCCTGCAGTACCAAAACAGAGGAACTAGAAGCATCTAAAAGGATCTATTAGGCAATATGAAAGGATTAGGGGCATTAAGAGTCTTTTCACATGCATTCCCAAAATTAACAGTGGTGATTTGCCCACGACCTTGGAACTGGAAAAAAAAAAAAAAAAAGGGGAAAATGACCAGAACTGCGGCAACTCATGTTATTAATAAAACCGATCGTTCTTATTACGGTGACCCTCTGTAGCACCATTATTTTCATAGTATTTTTCCGACCAAACCCACTTCTTCACAAACAAGACTCCATGGCTCGAAGCTTTGTTCTGTGGCTCCATGGTTTGGGTGACTCTGGCCCCGCCAATGAACCCATCAAGACACTCTTCACTTCTCCTGAGTTTAAATTTACCAAATGGTCCTTCCCTTCTGCTCCTAACAACCCTGTCACTTGCAACTGTAAGTATCTCTCTTATGGTGTGATTACAGTTTTTTGTGGATTTCATCAAATGGGTTTTGTTTTTTGTTGTGTATTTGTGTTGAAGTTTTTGTCTTGGTGATCCAAGTTTCACAACTGGTAGTTGATTTGGAACTATGTGATGGTTAGTAGCTTTACGAATTTTTTATTAGTGAAGCAAATGATGGATGTGTGTCCATTTTGTTTATTTGATTTGAGTCCTTGGAGTTTGGTAAAGAATTTAAAGGTGATCAAGTAGAGAGACAAGAGTAAAGATGCTCTTGCTTGATGCATTATTATAATTGTCATCCTAAACTTCATTTGTGAAATTCATTTCTTTTAGAACAGGAAAATTACATAGAAATCAAATTGATGAAATTTCTTATGAGAATTAAATTTGTTTACTTGTATTATTATGGAGCATATTATTATTACTATAAGTTCTTAATTTTGGTATTGGGAGGTGCGTGTTTACCTACATTTTTTCCTTTATGCTTTTTTAAAAAAAGAAAACTTTTTTTTTTTTAATATAGAGAAGAAGCAACGTCAAGCTGATATAGATAGTTTCAATTGGTATCTTGTGATGATTAGCAGCTTCTTCAGTCATCAATTATGATAGATTTCAAATAATGTGATTATAGCATGAGGTCAAATATTTACTCGAGAAAAGTTCTTAGTTCTTATTTGTTGTGACAACCTGGAAAAGTTTTGATCTTAATCATTTCTATAGTCACATGGTTGTTTGTCCTGTTTTCATATCGACTTGATAGGTTAATATTTACTTATTCGATAAAGATATGTTTCCTTTTCCTTCCTGCAATATCTTATGGCTTTAATTTGCTTCTCTTTGTAGATGGCTCGGTGATGCCCCGTGGTTTGACATTCATGAGAGTTCCTGTGACTGCTGTAAGTTATTCCACTTTATAGATTATTTTATTTGGAAGTTTTCCAAACCTTCATCATATTAGTGATATTGTATTGAAATGTTGATTTAATTTGTTATAGATTTATCTTAATGTAATGATTGTGATAAGGAAATAATATTTAATGCATGAATTGGGTTCTTTTATTTATTCTTTTACAGCAATGGCAGTAAATTTTGATGGTATAACCTGCTACACTCTGCTATCTGAAGCTTTAGTGAGAATATTATCCCATGCAAATGCTTAGAAATTTCTTAGAGGAGAGAGCTAACGTGACTAGTGTTGATCCCCTATGGATATTGATAATCTGTTCAGATATTCATTGAGTTTTTTGTTTATGACCCTCAGAATTCACCGAAAGATGAACCTGGTGTGCTCAAAGCTGTTCAGAACGTGCATGCGATTAGACAAGGAAGTAGCTGCTGGAACAGATCCAAAAAATGTGTTTGTGTGGATTTAGTCAAGGAGGTCTCTCTCTCTCTTTCTTCTAGACATTCACAGAGAACATAAATAAGACATTACTGGTTTGTGCTGATTTTGGTGCAACTGATATGAACAATTTGCAGGTGCCTTGACATTGGGTAGTGTTGTTGTACCCAAAAACTCTTGGAGGAGGAGCAGTTTTCAGGCGGATGGATTCCTTTCAATCTTCTTGATTGAAAAATTTACTGCAGATGCAAGAAAGGTGCTTCTTTTATAAGTATCAATCGTCTATAATTATTGATTTGAAATCTTCTTTTCTCTCTCTCTGTCTCTTTTCCTTTTTCCCCATAATTGCAATTTAATCTCTTCTACCCCGTTCTTGCCTTCCTGTTTGTAAGTATGTGAGATAAGAATTTTGTAATCTTTAGAGAAATGGCCAACTGGTGACAATTATAACAATGTTATTTGCTGATGGACCTCAGATCCATGGTCAAGTATCTAAATTAGTTTTAGATTACCTCTTTTCGAAGTCGGAAGCAGCATTCTGCAGGTTTTACTTGCCATTTTGAATTATACTTCTATAATGGATGGTATTGCATGGTTTATGGTCTGAGGTCTGAAATCTATTACAGACTCAATTTGTGGTCTCATGGAATGGCTGACAGAACAGTATTGTTTGAGGCTGGACAAGCAGGTCCACCTTCCTTGAACAAGCTGGCGTAAGCTGCGAGTTTAAGGTAATAAAGTAATACTCTCTGTGATTCTCTCTACTATCATTGAACTTTATTAAAACATGTTTTACAATAATTTTGTAGGCTTATCCTGGTCTTGGTCACTCCCAAGCAACGAGGAGCTCCGGAATCTTGAATCATGGATCAAGAGTCGTCTGAGTAGTTCTTCCTAGAGGTGTGAGTGGTATCGAAATTGCATCTGGTTATGTCAAGGCGCTATTCTGATTTACTTGTTAAAATGAATTGGAGAAATGAAAATTTTATAAGATAATATGCATATTTGCGGGAATAACAACATGAGATTCAACTGGATCTCTTTTGGTTCGGTGTGAAGCAATTTGGCATTGTTCACTTATTGGAACAATTAATGAAACCACAGAAGTGGACTAGTTTCCAATCAAGATTAGGGCGCACTACAATTGCAACTGATAACCCTGTGCGCCTTCTTCCAATGTTCTGGCCTCTCTGTACCTCAAATTTTCAGGGCAAGTCCACTGGCCCTGGAATGCCTTTCTGCCGAAAATGATCCCATAACTCCAAGAAAGGTTGCCGCATTTTCCAATGGTGTAAATCCAAGGCATAGATTCAAAGCTAGTTTTAACTCTCCTGTAAACTCATGAACAAGAGGGGCCTTCAAGTTCCCATAACACGTCCTGTTACCATGGCTTGGAGCTCGCTCTTTATCCACTCTTATCCAGTGATTAGAAATCGGACCCGTGCAGGGACCCGGCTAGGCCATTGGTCTCAAAGCGAGTAGTTTAAAGTTTGACCGGCAGGTCAAAATGGTGTCTAAAGGTTTGAAATCTATAAAAATACCCATAAAAATTACATGTAACTATAAGTTTGAAATCTTGCAAAAACACTCCAAACACCATTGTCGACATTGGCACAAATGGCGTTTCAATGACAACAACACTCCTCATCAGGACGAAAACATTCCCTCATTCTCCGACCAAAACTTATCTCACCCTCTCACGTTTGCCTCCCCAATCGTCAGCGACAACAGGCTCTTTTTGATGACATTGTTTTGCGATTTTGGTTGATTCATTCATCGAATGTTGTTCCACCATTCCATTGATCAATCATTCATCTTTAAAAGCCATAAGACGTCAATTTTTTTTGCCGTATTCGATAATTTCAGTCCATACTTTCGCATCAAAAGCAACAATCGGTCAAGTCACAACACAAACATTCATCCACTAAAATAGAAAAGAACGGTATTATCCATGGGAGACGCTCAAAGTTTTTGGAGAATTTGAGTTTCTCCTCCAGTAATGTAAGCTCTTGTTGGGCTTGGGGTTTGGATATTAGAAAAACTCTATTAGGATCCCACATTGAAAGGAAAAATGATGGGCATGTGGGTTATAAAGGCTTGGACATCCTCTTTGGTAAGTCGATTTTTTAAGGAGAGTTTTATTCAAGCCACCTATGAAAGACCTCAATTGTTGAGTTATTGAGGGGGTTCTTATCAATTAGTATTAGAGCAAGATCTTGCACGCGTGACAAGTGACCTTGGGCCAATGCTGCTACCCCAAAGAAAGGGGATCTGTGAAGTCATCCAAGGGATAAAGAGGCCAATGTGGAGCCCACACAGTAGGGCCCAATGGGCCCTCTGAGGGGTGGAGAAGAAGAGTTTTTTATAGGCTTCTAGGCGAAGTAAGACCCAAAGGAAGGACAATAAAGATCGATGAGGGTAGGGCTACCCCAAAGAAAGGGGATCTGTGAAGTCATCCAAGGGATAAAGAGGCCAATGTGGAGCCCACACAGTAGGGTCCAATGGGCCCTCTGAGGGGTGGAGAAGGAGAGTTTTTTTATAGGCTTCTAGGCGAAGTAAGACCCAAAGGAAGGACAATAAAGATCGATGAGGGTAGGCGCTCTCTGGAAAGAAGACCAACAAGGGCGTTGGGTCTCAAAGCGTGGGAGAATGTTAGAATCTCATATTAAAAAGAAAAATAGTGGGTATGTGGGTTATAAAGATTTAGACATCCTCTCTTAAAAAGCCAGTTTTTTTTAAAGAGAGTTTTATTTAAGCTCACGAAAAACTCTGTTACCCAACCTAAATTATTGAGTTATTAGAGTGGTTCTGTCATACTCAAACGGAGAGCAGCAGAGTAAAGACTCGATCCACCAACCCAGATTGACGTATAAAGAGGGACTACTTCTGAAGACCGACAGGGACAATACAAATAATAAATCATGGTAGTAGGTCCAATCACATCACTGATCAACCCCACCAACGTTCAAAATGCTCAAATCCAACGAACACGATTCACTCACCTTCACAACTCTACCACCTCTTTTCATACTCCTTCATCACACCTTAAACTTCCCGCAAATCTACGTCACCAACCCCAAGATTACGGTAAAACATAAATGTAAAATAAAATAAAAAAGAAGAACGCCCTGTCTATCAACCTTTCAAAGTCCAAACCTCCCAGTCTCCTTCCCTATTAGATAATAAAACTCAAACTCTTTCTCTGTCTAAGCCAGATTCCCTCTCATCGTCATCAACTATGAAGAAACTATACCGCAAAGGCACGGTTCATCCTTCTCCGCCAATAATATCCGATCACCTGTCCTTTCTTCCCGCCACAATACTCACCCTCACGGCGGCTCTTTCTCCTGAAGACAGAGAGGTTTTAGCTTATCTCATCTCTTGCTCCAACCACAACATCTGCGTCGTCAACAACTCTCAGAGTCAGAGAAAAAACAACAACACCCAGAAGACTGCGAGTGCTTCGCTCGGTAAAAGTAAAAGTAATAGTAGTAATAGTAACGATCATCCTCCTTTTTTCAACTGCGATTGTTTTAGATGTTATATGAGTTACTGGGTCAGGTGGGACGCGTCGCCTAATCGCCAACTGATACACGAGATCATCGACGCTTTTGAAGATGATTTGTTGCGCGATAACAAGAAGGTTAAAAGCAACAAGAAGGATAAGAAAAAGAAAGGTGGTGGGAATTATAATAACGATAACTCGGGTGAGTTAAAACGGCCGCCGAGTAGTGATCGTCAGTTGAGTTTGGGAAAGGACCAGTCAGCTGAGTCAGAGTATTCGGAAGAAACGAGTTGTAAAGATGGTGAAAAGGGTTTTGATGGCCACCATGATGAAGAAGGAGAAGAGAGAGGTTCAGTGAAGCGCTTCGTTAGTTTTATTGGAGAAAAGATATGGGGTGTTTGGGGATAATCTTGAAGCTTGCAAGATTAAAGAGGTGGGTTTAGTTTAATTCTAGTTTTAATTTGTTCTCTACTAAGAGAAGCAAATTTATTTTTGGTTTTTCTTACTGTTTTTGCTTCTTGTATATTACCCTTTTATAATGTATAAATTAAATGGGTAGTTTTATTTTTAAGCATCAATCTTTCAAACCCATCAATATTGATGTTTCTCTCTTCAGTTCTTCTCCTCTCTGTACATATAATAAGTGATTGATCATTTGATTGATTACCTTCATTTGTATTTGTGTTTAGAGTTTCTTATCTTACTGTTTCCATAACATTTTCTATGAATGCTCTTATCGGAATTAGACCTCCGATCAATTCGCCGATCGTTCTACCGGGCAAGGTTTAGCAGACTTCTTGCGACGTCGCAGGCAGCAAACCGCCCAAGTTACTGCGATCCGAACACTTAACCGGATCATTCATTTAGTTCCGTAATGCAAATATTAGAGATTTCTTTACAATTTGAAGTTAGTTCTGATCATTTCAGAATTCTGTTAATACCATTCAAATTCGCTCCAGGTAGAAGTTTTTTCTTTTATTTAATTATTTTCTGGAAATGACCCAAATAAAGAAAACCCTAAACTTAGTTTCCTTTTTTGGGGAAAAATAAATTTATCTCTTGGGAAGCCATGTTGCAAGGGAATATAATATTGCCATTTTCGACATTGTAGTTGTACTTGTATTACCCTATTACGGCGTCGTTTATTTTGTTTATTGGTTATATAAAAAATTTAGCCTAATATATATTCTGAATTAATTTCCATTTCTGAGTGTTAAATTTAGTACTGAAAAACAACAGAAGGGTATAATGGTCAGGATGGAAAATTTTTTATGGATGTAATAGGTGTCACAATAACCGAGGTCGGCAAAAGCAAGAGGCTTCTTCGATTAAAGCAAAGGGCCCATTAAAAAGTCCTCCCCACTAATGACAGTATGACACTCTAATCCAAGCCTCTCTCTTTTGTTGGTTCTCCAAGAGCGTTTATTCTTTTCATAATTTCTTCATAAAATTTCACTCACTTTTACCATCTTACCCCTTTCTCACATTTTCCTTTTATCAAATAATTTTACCAGAGAAAACAATTATATTAGGCTACACCTATCTATTATTTATAGTGAACACATTCGTTAACAAACCCGTTCGTCGGTAATCTAGATGGTTAAGGCGAATTCGAGATAGGTGTATAGGTAATCTAGATGGTTAAGGCGAATTCGAGATAGGTGTATAGATCAGTTTGCGCACACCTCAACTAATTCCTGAAGCTCATTAAACACCTTACAAGCACAATGTTCAAGATAAGTCACAAATATGGTAGGTGGTTACAAACTTTAGTGACCATCAGGCTAACCCCTTATACAGTCTCAAGTTCGATTACCCATCTGTGCAAACTTTATGCGATTTAAGTGTTACGCTGGGCTCCCCCGCATGAACACATCAATTCTCAATAAGAAAAATTCAAATTGTAATAAGTAATCCTACATCTAACCATTATTTATATCCAAAGAGTAGTTACGTAAGTGATATTGTGGGATGTGAAAGAGTTTTGATAAGATAAGGTTCCATTATGATTTATATAGTAAATTATTAGTACTTAGACATAGGTACTTCAAATTTTGTTTTTTTTTATTGGCATTTTCTAAAGAGTAGTTGGTGGTGCTATAATTGTTGTTTAAAGTTTAGCAAAGATTTAACATCGTCATAGTATGGTTCAATGCATGCTTATGGTTTAAAATACACCTTCACATTTTTTTATAAAGTGGTTTGTCTCTCTTTAAACTATAATTTATATGAATTTCATGTATTATTTTATAAACTTAGTCGAGGCAATTTTGCACTTGTTTAATTAAATATTAGGCATAGTGGGGTTGGTTTGTCCATGTTAGAAAGTAGAAGAAACAGTCAATTATTTTTTATTTATAAGGGTGTTTAGGCAATTTCCTTTTAGTCCAAAAGAAAGAGAATCTCTTTTTTCTTTATATTTTAATCTTTTTTGCATTTGCACCCCCCATGTCTTTATCTTCTTTTCTCTTTAACTTATATATTATATTGAAAAAAAATATGAAAATCACACTTGATAATTGCAAAAGAGTATCTTTGGAAAGTTCGAAACGCTAATTAATTCTGTACATTGGTTCATGCTCTGTGATAAAGCTCGTGAATGGCAATAATAAAGTTAACATAGAAATAATTTCACCCTCAATTTCTAAAATTAGACCTTAAAGTTAATGCAGAAACGAAGAAACTAATAACATGTCATCCCATATTTTCAACGGTAGATTAAAGTTAATATAACTAAAGGGGCTCAATTGGCTATGCTAAAGATAGGGGGTGAAAATGTAATTTACCCTATCCCTATATAACATAAAGATTCACAATTGATTTTAAAACTAAAATATCTACGGCTCTCACTAACTCCTATATCTCAACTTTCCCCATGTTGCAATTATTTATTTATTTTAATTGATAATGATTCCATGAGGTGTAATGTGGGCCTTAGATTTGGGCCATAGGGCCCAGGAATCAAGGGTTTGAAATTGAAATTGACTAGATAATAATTTCTTTAAAATATATCCAAATCTAATAAACTTTTTAAATTTTAGGAGAGGAGATATATTTTTTCAAAAAGAAAACTTAATAAAAGAGATAAATCATAAATAAAATACATAGAAATTTATAATTTATTATTTAAAATTAAGATAGAAAGTTAAATTTGATTCTCTAAATGTGGCGAGTCAAACTCACTATTTAATTTATATTTAAAGAATAAAGAGTCTGTTAAACTATTATTTCTATGGATAAACTCTTTATAATAAAGAGTTTTTGGTCATATAAAGAGTCTTTTGAAGACCTTATAAGCGTATATTTGTGGTAGGAAGAACGAGTCAACACTGAATAAGCCGTCAACATTTTACATCAAATTTAGGTATAATGTTGTTGAATTCCAAACTTTGAACATCCCATTTTGTCTTTCTAATTGACTTGCACCTTTCTCAAATCAACCTGGCATCTGTTGACTCAGTTTGGTCTTTAAACTATAAATATAGAATATTAATTTCACTGACTTGTTCTAAGTTTTGATGATTGGGACAATAGAGAGATTTATATTCACAATTAAAGAACTCAATGATATTGATGTTAATATTTAAAATATTTATAAGATAAGACCCCTTATCTTATAGCTACTAGTTTGGTACGTTTATTTCATATATTTTCTTTAAGATCAATTATTATTAAATATATTTATAGTTATTACAAAATATCAAATATCCCATATCAGACGCATGCTCGTTTTACAATTATCACAAAATATAATGAGGACCCACCACTATATTTAGTGTAATATCAAATATCTCACATTGCTCAATATATTTATAGTTATCACAAAATATCAAATATCCCATATAGAGACAAGCTCGATTTACATTCTACAATTATCACAAAAATATGAGGACCCATCACTATAAGGGGTGTTTGTCTAAGCTTATAAACTGATCAAACTAACTTATAAGCTCTAAAATTAAGCTGACCTATTTGTTTATAACTTTTTTGAGCTTATAAGCCAAAAAAATAATAAGTTGGGAGGGAGGTACATTTTTTTTTGCTTATAAGCAGACTAATTTTATCAAGTATATTACCATATTATCCTTGTTTAATTTTAAAATTCTATAGTATATTCTTGTTTAATATAGTACATTTTTTAGTCATTTTATAATAAAATGTACTTATAAACTATATTTCACCAAACACGTCAACTACTTATTAGTTACTTATAAGTATTTTAACCAAACACGTAATTGCTTAAAATTTCAAATGCTTATAAGCTAAAATTAGCTTATAAGTACTTGTTACTTATAAACTAATTTTCATAAGCTCAGCCAAACACCTTCTATATTTAGTGTAACATCAAATATCCCATATCGCTCTAAACAAATGGGGCTTTAACACCAATCAAACGTGACTTTGATATTATGATAAATGGGTTTGAGTAGAACTGACCTTCAAAAGCTCAATCACATATATACATCGTAACAGTTTATCAAATTGACAATGTGAGACAAATACAATTTTTAACAATATATAATAGTTTATAATAATAATGAAAACAATTAATGCTTACACCTTTATTTTTAATTATTTAACACTTTAATGGTAGAAATTTTGAGAGATTCATGAAGGGCACTAACTATCTTCAATTATTAACAATGAACACTTACTGTTTATTGATAAAAGCAATGAAAAAATTATGCTTGGCAATGATATGATAAACCACTTTAACAAACAGATTAATAACAGATTATATTTAATTTAATTATTTATGGGATTTGGGTCTGAAATTCATCTTGATGATGACCAAGTCAATAATGACCTATAATTAAGGTTGACTAATGGAAAATATTAGGTGAAAGATTCCTCCTCTTTTCACCTATCATTGAATTTTTTAATATGTCTTTGTTCCTCTTCGTTAGAAACTTTAGTCCTTCATTTGATAACTGGGTAACTGTTAAATATTCAAAGCAGCAGTTTAACAAATCTAAGTTAGTAAAATGTTACGATAAATATGGGTCGATAAACCTTTCTCACAAAAGTTGTCAGGCAAGACCCATTGTTAGGCAGATGAGACCCATTGCTAGTTATGACAATGGGTCGGGTCGGGCCTGGATTGGGTACCCATTTGCCCAAACCCAAGCCCGACCCAAGCCCATCAGAGGTATCACAAGTAAAGCCCAAGCCCGGCCCGACGGAATTTTTGTAACCTCAGGACCGCCCATTTTTATAATGTGAATTTTTAAATATTAATAAATTTCAATTTTTTTTTTTATTTCTATAAACAATTTTTAAATATTTTGAATACTCACCAAATATACAATAAAACTTCTCTATAGTTATAATGTTGGGACTAACTAATTTTATTACTATAAAGAAGTTATAACTTAATGAAGGTATAGTTACAAAAATTATAGTTTTAATTTCTTATTTTATAATTCATGTTTTAGTATTACAGTATTAGGATTTTGATTCATATTTTAGTAATATTAGGATTTCAATACAGCGTTTCAATTACCTACTTTTAAAACAGATAAAATATCGTTTCTTAGAACCAACAAAAATAAGTGTCATTGATGGAACTGTAAATACAGTTGATGCATGGTCAATTGATGTGAAGCCACAGACAATTGTCAACTGTCAATGGTTTTAAGCGCTGCAAAATTAGGACCACTAATGTCAATGAATTGTAAGTTACAAATGAATTGGATGAGGAGAATAAAAGAGTCACTATAGAATTGAGTGATCAGATTCGACAAATTTATTACACTAATCGAATGGATATTAATGTCTTCTTCGATTATCCAAATGAGCAACAAATCGTGTATACTTTAACCAAAAGAGAAATCACTTTTAAAATTAGTCAAGAAGAGAAAGGAAATAATCCTAAGGATAATAGCACGGAAATACAAAAAGTCTTATGCCATGCAGCACTAAACATGCTTGAGAAACTAAAAATATTTTGGATTCAACAAGAAGGTATCCATGCTAACGAGCTATTATGTACTCGTAAGGTAAAAGATGTGATAACAACGCTAAAACATAAATTATTGTCCCAAACAATTTTAAATAAATAATTTATTTCATTTTAAACCTTTAATTTGACATAACATATATTTTTTTTGTAATATACAAATAATTATTATTATGTAGAGACAACTTTCCTTAAGGCGGGAATTAGAAAAATTATAACTTATTACAATGTAAAGTTTATTCTTATTTATAACTATCTCAAATTGGGACTAGAATTTTTTATGATTATGTAGAATTTATTCCTATATAGAGTATCACTATAGAGAGGTTTTACTGTATAAATAACTTTTCACAAAGTGCATCCATCTATCCATGTAGGGTTTGGGAAAAATGAGTATATATATGTAGGATAATCTTGTAATTAAATATATAGTATAAGGGTAATTTAGTATAATTAATAATAAAATTGTCGGGCCAGGCCTGAAGACATACCCATGCCCGGCCTATACCCTAGGTCAGGCCTTAAAATCAGGCTTAGGGCCAAGCCCATTAACATCGGGTAAAGCCCGACTTTTTCGGGATGGGCCGGGCCGGGTACCCGAAAATATCAAGTCCATTGCCATCTCTATCCATTGCAAGCTGCCATGTCTAGGGATGGAAAAGTGGCCTGACTCGGCCTGACCTGCGTTGAGCTTGGGCAATTTGCTAGCTAGGTTAGGCCCGTCTCTTTTTCAAAAGGGCCAGCCCAGCCCGGCCTGGTAACCTTAGCCCGGCGGGTTTTTGTGTGGGCCAGGCCAGGCCGACCCACCCAAAAAAATTAATTTTTAATGTTTTTGTCTTTTTCAAAAGGCCCAACCCTCTGGCCTGATGCATTTTTTTTTTTTTTTTTAAATCAACTCGTCGGGCTGTAGGCAGGCTCAGCCTGCCCAGGTATCCGGGCTCAACATGGCCCAACCTTAAGCCGGGCCCAAGTTCAGTCAAGCCAGGTTAGGGGGTTCAGGCGGGTTAGCTGGACCAATTTTTTCCACCTCTAGCCACCTCGCATTTGTAAGAGAAAATTATTGAGAATGGTTTGTGAGCCTAGAATGTTAGTGAGAATGGTATTATTACTATTACCCTAAAATGTTATATTTTCCCAAACCTTCTCTAATTTTCTCAACAACCAAACACCTTAAAAATCACTTCAAAACTAGGAAATTCAATTAAGGGTACTCGTCTTAGATCTTTCATTTGCATAGTCTGCAGCAGCATAATAGGATAAACTGAATCATCCATCAAATAAAACTGCGATATTTCTGTCTGATACAATGCTTTGTTTCTTCTTTTTCAAGGGACTTGATGTAAATTAAGGACAATGAAATGTGAGCAGCAGAGCATCAATTAAACTAACCTTAGATGATGATTCCACAAATAAGAGTTACATTAATTAGATAATGTAAAATTAAAGAACATTAAATATATATGTACAGATTATTGTTGTGAAGTAATTAATTAATCTACCAACAAAGGCAAACCTTAAAAGAGCAAAGACAATGGCAAATACCTTCTTCTTCTTCTAATTAAAATATAGTCAGGCATGTACAGGTATGGAGGAGCTCATAGATACACAGCCTTTCAAGCGTTCAATAATCACATTTCGGCTCACAAGTCCAGAGTGTGATGTTAGGGGCAGACCCTCTTTCACACACTCATCATATTTCTCCAGAGCTGAAACTATGTCACTGAAATCCGGACGCTTTGATGGATTTGCCGCCCAGCATCGCTTTATCAGATGCGCAAGCACAGGCTGGCAACTCGCCGGCAGTGGAGGCCTCTCGTTCTGTCAAACAAGAAAACATCAGTAACAAGCCGAATTTGGCTTCAGCATTGTCATGTTTGAGATGGAAGCTATTGTTACCTTCTCAGCCACGGCAAATGCTGCCTGCACAGGGGTCATTCCTTGGAATGGAAGTAAAGCTGTAGTGAGCTCCCAGAGGACAATTCCGAAGCTGTAAACATCGACTTTTCGAGTACAAGGTTTCTCTTTAATCATCTCTGGAGCCATCCAGCGATAAGTTCCCATGTTTCCTTTGGTTTCGCGGCACTGTGTCTCGAGGCATGATGTACCAAAATCAGCCACCTTTACCCGCATTTCGTCATTTAAAAGCAAATTGTTTGATTTGAGGTCCCTGTGAATCACCCCCTGTGAATGAAGATACTCCATTCCTCTGGATATGTCCAGAGCTAACCTCAGTATTGTTTCTGTTGAAAGCGAGTATGGCTCTTTCTTGTTTAGATACATTCTCAGAGTTCCTTGTGACATGTACTCAGTGATGATACAGTACACTGGAGGCTTTCTACAAGCTGCGATAAACTGTAAAGAAGATGGTTCACTAATCGACCCAAAAGATCAAAGTATATCATGTAGAGTATTGTTTAAATGTCCGTTAATTAATATGCTTAGAACAATATGATCGCTTAAATGTTCAGAAGTATCTTTAAATTACAGAAACTCTGGAACTTTAAAGGGAAAGCCAAAAGGGATTGTGGACGAATGCAGAGAAAAACCATGGAGACTGATTATGATCCTAAGATTGATAACTCAGCTGCAGGATTTGTTGAGTTCAGGTAACTTTTTCTGCCAAATTCTGAGCTAGAATCTAAAAAATCTGGAAAATGATACAATAGTATGCTAAACTATGACATTAGACATGAAAATTCCTGAAATTTTACACGGATTTGGCATCACAAATGTTCTTTTATTTCTTTCAAATTGAAAAGTTTCATTTTTCTAGTCCTTTTAGAACATCAAATTAACAAGCCCAACACTTAAAATAATTGTATTTTGCATGATGAAACAAGCATGGTATCTAAAAAACATGGACGATACTGTAAAGAGAATGAAAATGAAACAGTTTACAGTTACGTTGCTTCAACTTTTCAAGTAAAAAAAATGTCAAATTTTTCCAATACAAAATCTTACCTGAACTATATTGGGATGAAAGAGACGAGAAAGCAAGGCAACTTCAGACTTAAACTGTTGCTCAATTTTGGCTCTAGTCTCCTCTTGATTTGGAACTCTCACCATTTTTACGGCAACAGCTCTTTGCTTATAAATTCCACGATAAATCCTACTTTGAGCACCAGAAGCAAACTTGTTACCAATAAACAACTGTGAAAGATCAGCCGTCCATTCTTCTTGATCCTCCTTTGAAACCTCCCAAGTCTCGACGTTCTCAGAGTCCAAAATCATTGACCATGACTCCAAGCTATCAAATCTCTTCCTCTCCAAGTTCTCCATGTCAGAATTCAACTGGGATTTTGATGATGAAGGCACTGACAGCGGTTTGCTCTTTGGTTTTCTAAGCCGAAATGCATGGAAACATGAGCTCGCCATTGTAGCTCTTATTTTACTTTTCTCTGTACGTTAATATTCTACACACAAATTACTCTTTTTCTTTTTTCTAACTGTCAAGACAAACAATCAAAAGGACTTGTTTTCCTTCTGAATGTGTGAATTGATTTCAGAAAGTGCATGAACTGATTCAAAAACATGGGTTCTGCAGAAAAACAAAAAAGAGAAATCGGGTTTCATGAATCTAAAACACCCCATATAGTATTTTTTCAGATAAAAAACATACACAAGTACTTATCAAACTAAAGCCGCTGTTAAAGAGGTTCATGGCTTCAAGAATTGTATTGAAATGAAGAGTAAATTCAAAGAAACGTACATTTTCCAAAGAAAGAGAAGAGACTTGAAAAATTTTCACGGCTCTATCTAATAGGATCAGGAAGAGATTAGGTCGTTTGGCAGTAGAAAAGATGAATTCAAAGCAGAAATTTCAGGGATGTCCCGTGATTTCTCGGTTCAAAAACAAGACACATAAAAAAGAGCCTCCCCCCTTTTTTTATTTTCTGTGGGCTTTCTCTTATTGCTTATTGCTGTTTGCTGTTCCCTTTTTGCATCATTAATGCATAGTGGCCACAGTGACAGATTAAACCCTTTCATTTTTAATTAATCATGGAGTTAAGTAAAAGCTTTTTGCATCAACCTGCAAACTTTTATGGTATTTATTTCCAAAAATACTTCCAAAAAACACTTCCAAAAAGTCATAAATTGAAGCTATACAATAAAATACAAGTGGCATATATCCGTGGGCTCAGTTTCTGCATAGAAGTGGCAGCTTACTGTCCATGCATATTGTTTCAAGTGATAATTTTTGTTATCATAACTCTAAAAAATCCACTGAAAAATTATTCTTTTCTACAGAAATAATACATGTAGATTCCTCTTTTTTATATCTGTTTATTCATATATGCCCTTATATTGTTACTTTGAATATAATAAGAATCGCAAGTTCTGACTTCAGAGGTTTTAGCTTGCCATTTATGTTGTGTCTTTTTCCATTCATTGCCGTGATGTCTTTCTCTGTTCATCAAAAGGGCATGATTAAGTAAAGATTATTTTCAGAAACTCAATCATTTATCCTTCTGTTTAAAGAAGAAGAAGAAGAAGAAGATATTTTTTTCCTGAATTGGATAGAAGTGGGAATGGTTAGTTTCATATGCAGGTAGCTATACATGTGAATCAGAAAGATTAAAGAACAGCTAGCAGTAATTCTTTCCTGAAAACTCTATATGTCTTAAAGATCAGAAAGTGGAAACTTGATTTGATTTCAGATGACAAAAAAACAAAAAACAAAAATCATATTCCTTTAGAAACCAAAAGGAATATGATTTTTATTATTAGCAACTGCATATATAACAGTGTACTCCAAAATTATTATTATTAGCAAAGTGGTCACTTTATTCTGAAACTAGGGAACATGACATTGCTGGAAAAGGAATGGTTATGGATGAAGTACTTTAGAAAGAAGATGTTCCGTTTGAGATCAAAAGAGAATCCATTAACATGATTTTCCCATCATTGGCTTTAAAGTTTAAGTCCTAGATTTCTTCAGAAATGTGCAGGACAGAGAGACTCTTAAAGTCTGAAGCAAGTTTTATTATTAATTATTTGTTATCTGTTAAACCTTGTAATTAATGAAGAGTTTCTAGTAAAAATAAATAAATAAAAAACTGGACTTTGGGATGGGAGATGGCCGATGGGAGATGTGTTAGTTGACAAAACGCATGGTTAAACTTCCGTGAAACTTTATTTCAAGAACCTGAAATAGAAGCCCTTTTCTTGAAGTTCCTTTGGCAACTTGCCTGGCCATGTCTTTATCAGCTTTTTTCAGCATTGGATATTGTCAACAAAAGTTAAGTAGCCAACCCAACCCTAATTTTGAAAATGCCCACCAGCAGCGGCAGCCGGGCCAGGATTTTGTCAGACAGTTTACTATTGGTGAAGGGTTAACCTTCTTTTATATAAATTTTCATTATTTCGATCCATTGATGAACACATTGAACAGTAATTGCTTTCAGATCAAGTGGGTTTTTAGTAACGCGAAGTTTTGACCATATCGAGCAATACGTATATAATATGCAAAGCAAGTACTTGTTACAGCCAAAATCTTGCAAATTGGTTGATTTAATTAACAGTTTGTAGTTCACATTTCAAGACATTGGACATGGGCAGTGACATTTTCAAGTTTTGGCTGGAAACTTCATTTGACATTCCAAGATGATGGACTTCCTGTGTATGCTCCCTCCATTGTTGAGATTAGCAACCCCATGTGAATTTGGGTTTTCCTTTTTCTTTTCGTTTTGATGTTTGGGGCTTGTTTTGGGTCTAGTAACAGAAAATGTAGGCCAGACTGAGCTTTAAAACTCTTTGGCCCTTCGGCTTCTGCTGAGATTAACCATTATGGCTCAAATGACTCTTGCCTCTGGGCCACTGAGCCAGGGCCATAAGTAAAGAAGCCCGAAACAGAATTTGAGAACAATATTTTTATCCCATTTATTTGTTCTTTTGATGGCAATAAATGACCTCCGTGTGCAATTTAAAATTGACTACTTAATATCATTGTTTTAACCCGATCGGTTGAACCAGTTCAACCAAGACCCAGGGCCTTCATCGAGTCGAGTTATAAATTTTCATATTAATTGAAAAACCTAAAAATTAGGGCATAGATCTGTGAATAATTGAAGGTTGTGATGTTAAGGGTTTTGAAGAGGAAGGGCCACTGAGTGGAATGATGGCAACGGAGGTGATTTCTAGTGAGTGAATCGATTAAAAATCATAAAATTATGTCCCCGGAAAAAGCCCACTGTTGCCGACGACTGGGGAGGCGAACAGGGGAGGGCTGAGATGGGTTTTGGTCAAGAGGCTGAGGGGAGTGTTTTCGTGGTAATGGGGAGTGTTGTCATTGCCAGAAACATGCCCTGTTTGCCAACGCTGACAGTGATGTTTGGGGTGCTTTTGGAAGATTTCAAACATATAGGAGATTTTTGTTAGATTTCAAACCTTTGGACACCAGTTTGACCCACCGGTCAAACAGTTAAACCAATCAAGCTGGGACACGGCCACTTTATCGAGTTTTACCTCAGGTTGGTTTTTAAAACACTGTTAAATATCATGTTAATCAGAATAAGATTGACGACAAACCCTAACATAGATCTTGTAACATAAACAGAATTTAAACTATAATCTGTGTAATGAAAAGGAACTGAAGGCACAAATTATAAAGTTCGAATTCTTGCTCGTGCTTTAGTATTACACCTTAACCTTTGGACTTTCATTTTGACCAATTCTTTTCCTTTTTGTCATGAGAATAAATCATCTTCATGTTGTGACCTAAAGTCCCACATTGATCCCGTGTGAGGAAAGTTGAGTGTTTAAATAGGGCTAATAGGCATATACTCAGTACACGCCTAATGTAATGAATCCCACATCGGAAACGTATTAAGGAGGTCTTAAGCTTATGGGGAATCTCTCTATCTAATAGGTTAACTTTTTGGGTGTGAAATTCTCAACCCGTAATTGGATGTAGGAGAATGTCACAAATCCCACATAGGAAACGCATAGAGGAAGTCCGATCCATCTTTTGACAGGTAGCCAGGGGCCTCCACATGTAATTGGGTGGGGAGAATGTCATCTCACATTAGAAACGCATTGAAGAGGTCCTAACCTATGACAAGTGGTATATTCGTCTTTCGGCGGGTAAGCAAAGGGCCCCACTTGTGACAAAGGCGTCACATAATTGGATTGGGGGAGAATGTCACGAATCCCATACTGGAAGTGCATTGGGGAGATCTTGGGCCTTTTGGGTGAAACTCCTAACCCATGACAAGTGGTACCAGAACATATCTGATCCTTCTTTTAGCAAGTAGGCAAAGGTGCCACCTATGATAAGGGCGTCACATAATTGTGTGGGTGAGAATATCACAAATCTCACATTAGAAGCGTATTGGGGAGGTCTTAGGCTTAAAAGGAGGAATCCCTCGACCTAATAAGTTAGCTTCGGTGGGTGGGCAGGGGGCCCCACCTGTGATGAGGGAGTCACATAATTGGGTGGTCAAGGATGTCACGAATTCCATATCGGAAACGCATTGGGGAGGTTTTGGGTCTTTTAGGTGCAAAACTCCCAACACTAGAGTAGACTGGATCCATCTTTCGATAGGTAGGTAGGGGCCCCACTATGATAGGGTGTCACATAATTGGGTGGGTGAGAATATCACGAATCTCATATCGGAAACGCATTGGGAAAACCTTAAGCTTAAAAGAGATGAGTCTCTCCACCTAATAGGTTAGCCTTTTGGGTGTAAAACTCTCAGTCCGTGACAGTAGAAACAAAACCGTGAGGTCTTATAGTGCCAAAGCCCGTGACACCGTGAGGTCCTGTACTGGCAAAGCGAACAAATCTCATATATGCATAACATTAAGAATTTATACAATAATATAAAATGAGATCCATATCAAATTATATTGAACTTATAATTGCAAAAGACATGATTCCTTGAGAAGGCATTGCCGACAACTCTCTAATTCAAGATTGCCAAAGGCAAGCTTTTGTTTTATTAGGTTCACTTAAGAAAACAAAAGATCACCTACTTCCTTGTACAAAAAGACCTAAAATGAAAACGATTGAAAAAAAAAAAACCAAAAAAAACAAAACTATCTTTAAAAAATGCTTTTCAAATGGGGTCTCTCTCTATTATAATACTAAATCTAATTGACTCTTTAAACTATATCTTAATAATAGATTTCAGTCACCAATTGTTTCCATAATGGGATCTTGCCCTTTAATTAATTAATCTCTCCTCTAATAAATGCATGACAAAATCACCCTTTTTATTTTTATCTTTAATATTTTGGTGGACCATAATTAGAATTTATAATTAACCTAATTACTTCTCATGATTAATGACCCCATTACCTCATTCAAATCACCCTTTTTTATATATTGGGTTAGAAAATTTTGGATTCACTAAATTGACCTTAAAACAAGTTTAATTAATTTAATTAAAATAGTGAAATGACTCTAATACCCCTGTGGAGGTAATGAAGATTTTGAAAATCTCTAAGAGGTAGATAGAAGAAGCTAATAATAAAGAGGGAGCATCTTGAAGATCTTAATGAAAAGCGTTCTTTATAAAAGTAAATAAAAATTTTGATTTTCATAAAATCAATTGTCACGCATTTAAAGATATCCTTATTTATTTAATGAATTAAATATAATATTATAATCATAGTATTCTTTTTCAAGTCATTTTAAAATATTATTTGACAACTAAGCATGTGGTCGGATAACAAGACTTTAGTCATCTGAATGAATTATCCAAAAAAATTTCGTGTTCAAGTCTTCGCAGTGACTACGTAGGGTGTGCAATGAGTCCCGAGGAATAAGCCCAAAAATATTATTATTTCCTCAAAGTCAAATTAAATTTAAAGATGATAACAAGATGCTAAGCCGCAACCGCAAGCAACCCCTTTTATTTTGGTTCAAATTAGGGCTCCGTCTAATTAAATTAAATTAGCAATTTTTCTATTAAAATAATTGTTGAAATTCACGCAAGCTCAATTTATTATTCAATTAATCCAAAGAATTAGAATATTTATAACAGGTTATTTTTATACTTCTTCAAGAGATTGTTAAGTCTTTGACACTTAAAAAATTCTGAAGACTATTAAATATTTACTTAAAAATATTAAAAAAATCCTTTATAAATGTAAACACAAAATTAAATTAATGGGTATTTGATATTTTTTTTATAAGGCATATAACTCAATAATTTAAACAATGGACACCTTTTATAATAATAAAAAAATTTAGAATTTCAATAATTTATATAATTAGATCTTCTGTACAAGGATATTTTTGTCCTTATGTAAATGTTTTAGAAACTTTGGATTCGCATGTGTGTCACTACTCCCCACCGACCCGTAGGCAGCGTGAATTTCCAGAATCACCCTCGACTTTCCAAACCGTAGTGTACTAAAAAGGGCGCGATTATAACTAACTCCTTGATTAACGACAACTAGTGACCGCAAGATCCATCAATCACCGTCAGATTTATAATCAAAACTCAAAGAAAGTGGGCCCACCGTCGGTAGGGGGGTCTACATTAAATGAAAGAGTGTATTTATAGTGTAGAATAAAACCGTGCTTAGAGTTGATGTCGACCGTAGATCAAATTGGACCCACTTCAATTCTCTGAAATTAAATTTGGGCCTGGATAATCAGACGTTGAGATTGTGTTTTATGATTTTGCGGAGGGCAATGATCGGTGGAGAAGATCTTGTGGCGATCAGATCTAAAACTATGGGGCCCATTGTGCTGCAAAAGCCCAACCTTCAGATGGGACCATGTCAAACCAGTTTGATTATGACACATCAGAGCTACCATTTACTCATCACTTCACGCACCAATACAATAAATAATTTACCAATTTTTATATATTTTTTTTTAATTAGAAAATTGCTACGTTATCTTACCCAGTAATGTTACCGGGGGTTTACTGTAAAGCACATAGCATAGTATTCGAAGGCAATTCTACTTTTTGAACGATAAGGATAAAAAGGTAAATGCATAAAGCAAAAGTCACCCAAGGCCAATCAAATCGATCTACTGTGCCCCATTGCGAGCCACAACGACAAACAGTGTACCGCCATTTGAAGACACCGGGACATCCACGTCATTATCACATTTGTCCATACCCTTTTCAGTCATTTCATACTTATCAACAGGCTTCTCCCATTCCTTCTTCCTACCATCACCAACTCCAGTGCTCACACTCTCACTCACTCAACTCAGTTCTCGTTCTCACACAGTCACACTCACGCAACGAAAAATATGACCACCAGAATCCCGTCGCACCAGCTCAGCAGCGGGCTGTATGTCTCGGGACGGCCCGAACAGCTCAAAGAACGCCAGCCCACAATGGGCTCAAAGGCTGTCCCATATACCGGTGGTGATGTTAAAAAATCCGGAGAATTGGGAAAAATGTTCGATATCCCAGTGCTTGATCAAGCTCAAACGTCATCGAATCTTCCACCTTTTCCTCCTAAAGCACCTTCCCGCCCTTCTTCGTCTTCCCAACCCAATAGTGGATCCGTCCGATCTGGGCCCAATTCTGGCCCGGTAAAGAAATCATCCGGGCCGTTACCTCTCCAGCCCACTGGGCTCATCACCTCCGGCCCGTTGAACTCTGGTTCACTGGGTCCGAGGAGGTCGGGGCCACTGGACGGGACCGGGTCGTTTTCGACGCCGAGTAAGGCAGCGTACGGGTCCGCGGTGACGAGCTTAGGGGAGGAGATGAAGGTGGGGTTTAGGATTTCGAGGGCGGCTTTGTGGGTGATGATGGTGGTGGTGGCGATGGGAGTGATGGTGGGGGCGTTCTTGATGGTGGCGGTGAAGAAGGCGGTGGTTTTAGTAGCGGTGGGGGCTGTGGTGGTCCCGCTTTTAGTGGGTATGGTGTGGAACTGTGTGTGGGGGAGAAGAGGGTTGTTGGGGTTTGTTAAGAGATACCCAGATGCTGAACTTAGAGGCGCCATTGATGGTCAGTATGTTAAGGTTACTGGGGTAAGTAAGCTATTTAACATAGTTTTTATATTGTCAATTTAGCTAATTTTCTATCTAACATATGTCCCAAAATAGAATGTTGTAGTAAGTATTTTGTTTTTTATATTTTTAGACATTGAAGTAATCATTCTTTGTGGTTATGGTTTTATATTAACGGTTCAATGACGGCTGAGGTAGAAAAGAGAGTTTTTTTATTTATTTTTATTTTTATGGGTTTATTTCTAGGATCGGATTCAGAGTAGAAATCTTGAGAAATGAAACCGGTGATTTATGTTTTGCAAGCTGGTGAGATTTGTTAGTATGGAGGAGGATGAATTCTCTGGCGTAAAATTAGGTACAGCGGAAGGGAATTTTGTTGTCAGATGGAAGCGTGCTTACTTTAAGGGATAGTTATTAAAATAAGGTTTTGTTCCGTGTGAGCAATGGTAGCTAAACTATCAAAATCAATTTCTCGGTTTTCTTTGTTAATATTATCTTCTTGGAACCTAAAATTGCTTCTCGAGGGGTTAAAGGGTAGATAACTTCTAAGATTAGTATGGTATTTTTGCACTACACCGTGTGCTGTAAACTCACTCCTTTTATTCGATGTATAGAATAAGATGGAACAATTAGAAATAGGAGCTGTGTGATGGGACATGGGTGTCAGAAAATTTACTGTTCTCAGTTGCTGTTGCAAGAAGTTGCTAGGGGATGGTAAACGTTTCTTCTTTTCTGTAAACTAAACAATTCATGAGGTTAATTACATTCATAGTGAAATCAGACCAATGGAACATAACATTTGAATGGTTGGCTCCCTCATTGTTTAGTCCCAATATAAGGTGGTATAAGATCACTTTTCTAAGGCATTATGGAGACTTACAGCTCCATTGTACAACTTAAATTTGTCATCTGCATCAGAATGTGTACATTGTTTAATGATAGTGTTTGTGATGGTAAATTATTCTCTAAGGTACCTCTTGAAATTGTGTTTATTGCTTTAAGGGAGAAATTATATAACCTATGGAAGATGTTTGGCCTTTTTTAGAATACAGTTTTTGTCTTTTCAGCTTGTTATTGTATTCAGAAGCAACTTGTCTGACACATTCCTTATTTGTAGGTTGTCACCTGTGGCAGTATTCCTTTGGAATCATCTTACCAGAGGGTACCTAGGTGTGTATATGTTTCCACTGAATTATATGAATATAGAGGATGGGGTGGAAAATCTGCAAATCCTAAACACCGTTGCTTCTCCTGGGGATCTAGACATTCAGAGGTTAGTTTGTTAAGCTATGTGCGGTAATCTGTCCGGAGTATTGGTTTGACAACTTCATTTCGCAAATGATTATCTAATCACACAACACATGGGGGGGCTGAAAGAGTAAAACTACCTTTTCTTGTTTTAGAATTATTTATCCTCTCTCTCCTATTCAGATTTGGTGAATTTCCTGGGTTTTGATTCGTATGAGTTCGCCTTCATTTCTTTCTAGTAACTACTGAATGGTTCCTGCTGTTGCCAAGAGTGGAATGTTAAAAATGGTAATTTGATAGCACTTTTCATGTTAAGAATAACAGCATCTTAGACCTGGTATGGGAATATAACTGCAGCAATCAAAATTGGTGGTATATTGTCAAAAGGTTTAACCTTAAATATACTGTTATTAGATAAATGGAATTCTTCCATGGTTGATCTGCTTACCTGTCTAAATTGGAATTAGTATGTTTATTTGACTCAGTTTGTCTTAGGATGCCGCCTTTTGTGTTAATTAAAATGATCTCTGTCATGGGTTTTGAAAAGAATCTTCGACCAAGTCTCCAAGCATTCTTTAGAACTAGGTATATAATTTTGATCTCCACTTGTAAATGTATCTTTGTTTAAACACTGACAAACGTGGTGTGTGATTTAGTGTTTGGCCTCTCCAAGTTTCTGACAGTATGTAGGTATAGCACTTTGTATTATATGTGTCTATGTGATGCCTCTGTCTAATTGGGACATTTTTGTGAACAGAGATATGTGTCGGATTTTTACATATCAGACTTCCAATCTGGGTTAAGAGCCTTGGTGAAAGCAGGCTATGGAGCTAAGGTTGCTCCATTTGTCAAGCCAACAACTGTGGTTAATGTAACAAAAGGAAACAGAGACTTATCTCCAAGCTTTTTACGCTGGCTAGCTGAGCGCAACCTCTCCAGTGATGACTGCACAATACGCCTCAAAGAAGGGTATGCGGCTGACTTGCTGTTTTGTGTCTCGTCCATGCCTTTTGTTCTTTAGTGACATGTTGGGAGGTTCCTTCTGGGTTTTGCAAGTCGTCTTTGATATTTCCCAGTTGTATGCTTTCTAATGGCAATTGTGTTGTATGTCAGCTATATCAAAGAAGGGAGCACTGTAAGTGTAATGGGGATTGTACGGCGCCATGACAATGTGCTCATGATTGTTCCTGCAACAGAGCCTGTTTCAACAGGCTGTCAGTGGACCCGCTGCTTACTCCCAACCTATGTTGAAGGTCTCATTTTGACATGTGATGATAATCAAGATGGGGATGTAGTTCCTGTGTAAATATCTGGTGAATCATCTGAAATTTGTATATCAAAGTAAATATTGGAAAAGTGGAAGATGATGAAAAGGTCACACACTGCCAGACCACGTTTCTTTATTGTATGTAAGAATGGTGTAGAAGATGGAGAAAGAAAGAGAAGACCACATATCAATCAAAGAATAGTTTACTTGTGAATCAATATGCTTTGGGGATTCTAAATGAGATCTCCAGGTTGAAGAAAGAACTCCCCACTAAGAAGCTAGAAGATACTGTGTTGTGAAGTAGCTGCATATTCTGGTTTTGGTTGATTTTATGTACATAGATGCAGAGATACCCAGAAGGATTCAGAAATATTCGCCGTCTTCGGATACAATCAATTCTAGAGTGTAAAGTAAAATTATCAGTGTTCCCAAGAGTTCATATATATATTTCCAGCTGATTTTAAGTTTGTGAGAAACTCTTTGTTTATATTCTACTGTTAATGGCATGTAAATTGATCAAAGCTACTCCTGTAAGAGAGTTACCGAATCCCACTTCTTTGAAGCAATGTGAACTGTGTAATTCTTCTCACAACTACGATTGTGGTTTTCGTTTCGTTTAACTCACCCTGTTCTTTCACTTTCAGTCCATAGATTTTCCATTTTTTGGGTAATGTTTTGCCACTGGAAGCTTGGAGTTCTTGCAATGTTGTTGCTATATTAAGTGCTCTGACCACTGAAAGAGGCCTGTAAAGAGGAACAACTTACTCATTTATTGATCTTGTTTTGAGAGGCAATCTCATTCAAGATAATTATCAAAGTCTTGCGTTTGTGTCAAGGAATAGACTACAGGACACAATATAGTATAAAAAATTACAACGATTTGCAAACGCTGACAAATCCTAGAGTCGGGATGGGATTCCTCCAGCCACCACCAAAGTTTCTCCAGTAATGTAAGCAGCATCATTGGAAGCTAAGAAAGCAGTAGCAGCAGCCATGTCCTCCGTGGTACCAAGCCTATTAAGCAAAGTCTTCTCCTCAACGGCCTTCCTCTGCAATAGAGTAGAGCACAATCCATGGCAAAAGTTACAATTCAGCAAGCTGAAGAAAAACTTAATACTAGAAAGATACTTACAACTGTAGGATTACTCGTGATAAAATCTGCAAAGTGTGTAGGTACAAATCCGGGAGCAATACAGTTCACACGAGTATCCGGAGCCATCTCAGCTGCAAGGGCCTAAATGATGATCACATAAGAATAAGCACAAGAGCAAGAAACTAATATCCGGGTTCGAGAAGTCGACAAAGAAACCAACTCATATAAAGCATGGAAATCCTGTATTTACCTTGGTCAGCCCAAGAAGAGCTGTCTTAGTCACTCCATACATCGCCATGGACGCTTGCGGTAGATACCCAGTTATAGAGGATATCAAAACAACCGAAGAGCCCTTCTGCATATGAGGAGCAGCATCCTGCAAAAAAAATAAGAAAGTCGGCATCAAACCTAACATCTTACAATTACACTTATCAATGTCCTCAAGAGATTTCAAAAATGAAACCCACTCAACTATGAGACATCCATGGAATGGCACTGTTTTTATCAATATTCCCGTTAATGTTCAGTTCATATAAAACAATTACCTGCAGAACAAGTATGGCGGATTTGACATTAATTTCCCATAGCTTGTCAAGAACAGATTCTTTGGTTTCCAAAATGTTGTCAACAGATGGATTAGCAGCGGCATTCGAAACAACTACATCTATTTTTCCATATTTCTGAAACACAACTTCCATCAATCAACCAAACAACATTTACTTAATCAAATAAATCTCCATTTAAATCAATTAACCAACAAAACTTAATCCACCACCTGAACAGTCTTGTCTATAAGATTCTTCCTCTGTTCTGAATTTGACACGTGGCAAACAACTCCATACACTTCAATTCCTCTAGCTTTGAGTTTTTCAACTGCTTCATCTACATTTTTCTGCCATCATTTTTACAAAACAAAACCAAATCCTCACACAACTACTTTCCATAATTAAAACTTCAAAAAAAAAAAAAAAAATTCCAGCAAAAATCGATGATATCTAACAACTAACGAACCTGTCTTCGAGAGGAGACAACAACAGAGGCGCCTTCTAAGCCGAGCCGTTCAGCGATGCTGAAGCCGATGCCCTGAGTCGAAGCCGTGACGATCGCGACTTTCCCTTCAAATCTTTGGCCTAGCTTCGTCTTTATCTTCTCCATTTTTAGTTTTACTCTTGATGCAACAAGCAACTAGGCAATTGTCCTTTTTCTAGATTTATTTATAGTAATCAAGATATTTAGTTGAATGCTGACCGTCGGATCTCGTGACGTGTCCTCGGCATTTACAAATCAAGTTGACCTGGGCTCAGTTTTAGTTGTCAAATGTAAATTCAATCTTACATGATTTGTACTTGTTTAGATACATAACGACCCACAGGTCACAACTATGGGAATATATAAGCGTATGCCACGTGCTATTGCTATGACGGAGTTAACAAGCGATGCAGAAAATAATTTGAAAGGAGTTTATATTTATAAAGGTAAAAATATAAAACAATAAAAATATCAAAATAAACTCAATGTTACAGAAGCTTTAACTTCAACAATCTTTTAAGTTTCTACTCATAAGGATTTTTAAAATTCTTCAATAATTCTGGGATATCGTAAGCAAGCATGTCGTCTACAGCTTGTATCATCTTAGGTTTAAGTTTTTCAAATTTATCAATGCTGTATCCATTTAAGACCTCTCGATAGTGCTCCACATTTGGGAAATCTCCTGCTGGTAGATGGAAGTCTCTTTGAACCTGTTTACAAGAATTGTTAAAGAATATATGCATACAGAATTAATATAAGAGAGGGAAGGATGAAGAGAAACTAAACCTTTGCGAATTCGTCTTCGAGATTATCAATCAAGCGTTGCTGAGCTTTAGCTTTGCCCATCATGGCAGGCATTTCTTTCTTAAGATGGCTAATAATATAGGCATGAATCTTGGCAGCTCTGGCTCTTTTTACAAATTCATTGATCTACATTATGAAAAGACGGTCAGTCTAATTGACATGAATGTAAACCAATAAAGCAAACAATAAGAAGATATAATATAAAAGGATGACATACTCGACGATCACAAGCCTTCTTCGGAATATTGACTAGATCCATGAGGAGATCAAGCTGTTCTTTCTCAAAAAGTTCTCTTCCTATTGGGCCGACAAAGTCTTCATTGACAGGTTTGTCATTAAAAGAGCTGTGAAACAAGAAAAACAGCAATTTAGCATTAATCAGTTGAATTGGAGTGCTAGAGATTACCGCATGGTAGTAAGTCTTAAGGAAATCAGCTCTATAGCCTTAAACTAGTTCTGCCAAAAAAAAAAAAAAAAAAGATAAAAATTTAAGAAATGCCTACCCAATATAAACACGAACAACCTCAGGGGTATTTAGTACTTTCCCAAGTGACCACATCAATGCACCATAAACTCTCATCAACTGTCAAACATAGAACCACTGAGTCAATTGACAGAAATTCATCTACCAAAATTTTGTAGATGAGTGAAAAAGAAATACGATGAATTACTTGTTGAGTATCAACTTGATCTGCTTTATTTAGCACAACACGTATCTTGTCATCATTACCACGTAAGGATGCAATTACGCGCTTGAATTCATCACTAATATCAAGTTTATGAGGATCAAACAAAAGAAGAATTAGGTCGCATTTTGCTGCAAACCATGATATAACCCCAGTAAAATCATAAGTACGTTGGGTTCGTTGTTTTTCGCCTGATAAAACCCCAGGAGTGTCCACAAATGTTATTTGATCTAACAACTGCAATTATATGAATGATGCAGATGAGAATAAGAAAGAAAAACATAGAAGGATAGATAACAATTTAAGTAGGGAAATGGAATTTAACTCACCGGATGAGGCATTTGAGAACACTCGAATTTGGATAAAAATGCTCCTCCAAAGCTTGTCAGGCCACTGAATGGCATATCAGCATGAACAGCAATAGTGTTCCCAGGTATACTCCTTTCATCAGGTCCAGACTAGGTTCAAGATTTAAATGAGCTATTAGATATTACCATGAACATATGAAACTAACTTATATCATAGTAATAAAACAAGAAATTTTGCCGTGTCAAGGAAATCTGTTGTTTAATAAACAAGTTCGTGCAAGGTGGGAGACATGGATTGACCAATCTGATAATTCAGACATGTCATAGGATTCTAAAGAATTTATTACTCATAGCTTTCAAACTTGAAAAGGGAACTATACCATAACAACAACAAATCTATCTGTTGTAGGCTCCGGTCCTATATGAGCTCCTGCTCAAAAGGAAGAATAAAGTTAACATAATAACAACTCATGACCAACTGGAAATATCAACTAGTATAAATAAAAATCATAGTTCTTAACAAACCTGGGTAGTCACATCTTAGCAAATGTTTTATAAATGTTGTTTTTCCAGTTGAATACTGACCCAAAAGCATAACCATAGGCTTTGCATCAAAATCACTGTTTGTCTACAAAAGGGAAAGAACATATATGACCATATGGTTTTCTACATCTAGTTTACATCATCTAAATTTGTATATCTCATCCTAATAAATAAAAAAACATGCTAAGCCTACTCACCAAGAATGGAGATACAAAATCATTAAAACGATAGGCAGCTTCTAGTGGCTTTAGTTTTTCATTGTACAATCTCTTCAACCCATCAATTATTGATGTGACTGAAGTTGAAGGTGTCTGTGAGAGAGAAATAAGAAGCAAAAGAATTTATCAGGCGAAGATCAAATAAAAGTCTTCTTAAAGAAGCGTGGAAATAAGTAATCATGCATGCCAGTAACAGATAGAATTGATGAGCTCCTATACATTAATAGAGTTGATGTTAAGATGTATATGGAAATCTGTCATTGCAGAATTGATCCATTAAAAAGGGCCACCAAGGGAAGTAGCTTAGAGTATCATATCCCATTAAACCAAAACAAAGAGCAGTAGCTTGAATGTGTTTGATGAATCAACAACTGAGCATGAACAATACTGAAAAACAACACTAAAATATTAAGAATAAACTGCATGATGAAATTTTTTAACATTGACTTCAGATGGTAAGGGAAAATCACTGCCATTCTATAAAGACGAATGTCTAATTCATTAAACCTTCTCTTTAGAAGATCACCAGAAGTTCCTCAGTGCACACAAACAATTAGCAAATGTCATACCTTCTTTGCAGATTTTGAAGTAAACCATGAAGATGATGATAAAGTTTGCGTCGGAGCAGAGCCTAAATAATTAACAAGACGTGAATTTATCAAAAATAAATTCATCAAATCTCTTAAAAAGAATTGAAGGTTGAAGATTGTCTAACCATTCACAGCAGGCTCACTGTTCGTTGTTGACCTCTTATTTTTCTGGAAATATTAAAAAAAAAAAAAAAAAGGCATTTGAGAATTTCAACCACACAATTAACTACACAATTAACCATTAAAAGACATGGAAAATTGCTTACTGTTGCAAATGCCTCTACCCCTTCCATTGTTGGGAGTTCAATATTCTCCGCTTGGACTGTAATTTGAAAAAAAAAAAAAAAAAAAAAACACACACACATTAGTTAAACAACAAAAGCACAAAATGAGCAGGGGTTTAGCCAATTCAGTCCTCTACTTAGAGTGAGAAATTTTCCAACAGCTGAAGAACACTATGTCTCATCTTATCACAAATTATTCAGCTTAAGCTAATAATAAATTTGACTACATATTTATTCAAGTACATTTGTCAGAGCTAAATGAATGATCCTTGTACTTGCCTCCATTTTTAAGGATATCAGAGGTTATTTCGTGTCCAGCTTGTGCGAGAGATACAAGCTGATCATCGCAAACAATAAACAAATAGTCAGAATCTCATAAATTAGATTAAACAAGTTCTGGACAAAAAAAAAAATAAGTGTTTCATAATGCAACCTGCATCGCAATAACAAACTCCGAAAAATCTAAAAATCCTTGTCGTTTAGAATCTGCAAGCGCCCAAATCTTGGCACAAAAATAAATAAAACAGAAACGAATTAACTTATTTGAAACTAAATCAACAGACATCAAGTGACGCAATTATCATTCAAAATCAGTAAGTCTAGAAGTGATTAGAACCTGCTTCAGTTCTTGCCGAGAAAGCTTTGATAGTGCAAAGAACTTTGTAGCATCGTTTCCGGTGATGCGTCCATCACCATCTGTACGAGAAATAGCTCGATAAATAAATTAATTATTATTTGTAACTGTAAAGAAAAGGATCATGTTTGATTGGAGATAACAAACCTGGATCTGCTATTTCAAACCATTCGTGATACATCTTTTGCTGCTCTTTGGAGCACAAAGCGATCGTTGCTGGAGCTATCTCCATTTTTGGAAGTTAACTGAAATTTTCAAAAAGTTAATTTTGAAAGAGAGATAAGAAAGGGATAATCAATATTGAGGGCTCTTATTTTCCTTTTTATACTACTTTGGCGCTCCTAGAAATGTTATTTTACCAAGGTAGTATTTACTTCATTAAGGGCAATGCACTCGATCATCGTCTGATAATTTCGCTAAATGTGAGCCATCCGATAGAGGCTGATGTCGATTTCAGAAATTGAGTTTTGTTGATGTGAGTTAAGCACGGGATAATTAGATAGGGCGCTCCGCACTGGATTTTTTCCTTTTCTTTGCTTTATTTGAAGTTTGAATTAAGGCGCCATTTTATTTGAGGGCCCAGCCAGGCCCACATATGTCCATCAACGGACATGGATGACCCACGTGTACAGTATTTGTGATCGATGGAGATTTGAACGAGCCTAGATGATTCAAATGAATACTGTTTTGTTTTTGAAATTAAATTATGATNTAAATTTGACTACATATTTATTCAAGTACATTTGTCAGAGCTAAATGAATGATCCTTGTACTTGCCTCCATTTTTAAGGATATCAGAGGTTATTTCGTGTCCAGCTTGTGCGAGAGATACAAGCTGATCATCGCAAACAATAAACAAATAGTCAGAATCTCATAAATTAGATTAAACAAGTTCTGGACAAAAAAAAAAATAAGTGTTTCATAATGCAACCTGCATCGCAATAACAAACTCCGAAAAATCTAAAAATCCTTGTCGTTTAGAATCTGCAAGCGCCCAAATCTTGGCACAAAAATAAATAAAACAGAAACGAATTAACTTATTTGAAACTAAATCAACAGACATCAAGTGACGCAATTATCATTCAAAATCAGTAAGTCTAGAAGTGATTAGAACCTGCTTCAGTTCTTGCCGAGAAAGCTTTGATAGTGCAAAGAACTTTGTAGCATCGTTTCCGGTGATGCGTCCATCACCATCTGTACGAGAAATAGCTCGATAAATAAATTAATTATTATTTGTAACTGTAAAGAAAAGGATCATGTTTGATTGGAGATAACAAACCTGGATCTGCTATTTCAAACCATTCGTGATACATCTTTTGCTGCTCTTTGGAGCACAAAGCGATCGTTGCTGGAGCTATCTCCATTTTTGGAAGTTAACTGAAATTTTCAAAAAGTTAATTTTGAAAGAGAGATAAGAACGAGATAATCAATATTGAGGGCTCTTATTTTCCTTTTTATACTACTTTGGCGCTCCTAGAAATGTTATTTTACCAAGGTAGTATTTACTTCATTAAGGGCAATGCACTCGATCATCGTCTGATAATTTCGCTAAATGTGAGCCATGCGATAGAGGCTGATTTCGATTTCAGAAATTGAGTTTTGTTGATGCGAGTTAAGCACGGGATAATTAGATAGGGCGCTCCGCACTGGATTTTTTCCTTTTCTTTGCTTTATTTGAAGTTTGAATTAAGGCGCCATTTTATTTGATGGCCCAGCCAGACCCACATAATGTCCATCAACGGACAGGGATGACCCACGTGTACAGTATTTGTGATCGATGGAGATTTGAAAGAGCCTAGATGATTCAAATGAATACTGTTTTGTTTTTGAAATTAAATTATGATGTAAATTACTTCCTATGTTTCATAATAATTTCCGTTTTAGACTTATACACAATATTTAATAAAATAATTTTCTTTCTCCTACTTTATCTCTTATTGACTCAATGACTCCTCTCTGATAGAAAAAGAAAGAGAAGTGATGAGAGCAGAGAAAAAGTAGAAAAGAAGAGACAGAGCCATTTGCCGAGTAACTTTTTGGTCAAACGTCTTTTATTTTAGGAAAAAATAGTAAGTTTAAAATAATTTGTTAATCTGAAATAGAAGGGGTAAATTTATAAGATGATATAAGCTACAAATATTGGTTCCGTTTGGTTGGTTTTTGGGAATACTATTATTAGTATTTTCAAAAAAGTTAAACAGTAAAATGCCCAAAAAACTCACAATATTATCCAATATTATTCAACTTTTTTAAACCCCCTAAATTTATTAATTTAATTAAATACCCCTAAATTTTTTTTTTTAAAATTACAAAAAATACCCCTAAACCCACATTATACCAAATTCCGGCCACCACTGCCAGAAGTTGGCCGGAATCTGATATAATGGCGCACTACCGGCTGAATTTGACAGGTAGTGTGCCGATCTAGCCCTTTCCGATCAGATCCACGGCAGATTTGACCGAAAAATATCAGATCTTTAACCGTAACCAGACGTCAACGACAGCCAACATATGGTCATCGTTGACCATCAACGATGGCCGTATCTTTGGCGCACAATCGGATCTAGTCATGGATCTGGCCGGCAAAGGCCATATCGGAGCACAATTGGTAAGATCCATGGATCTGGCTGGCAAAGGCCATATCGGCGCACGACCGGTAAGATCCAGTCAATCATGCGTCGATACGGCGACTTCGGCCACCCTCTGGCAGTGGTGGCTGGCTGTGATTATTCAATGAGTGGGTTGGGGGTATTTTTATTAACTTTCAAAGTTTTATTATAGGGATGTTTAGTAAATAAACAAACATAGGGAGTATTTTTATTAGTTTCCAAATCCTATATCGTAATATCCGCCCAATTCAACTTTTTTTAACTTTTTTCAAAAAACTTTTCTAAAAAATGCAAAAAAGTGAACCAGACGGAGCCATAATTTTCAAATCAGATAAACTAATGCCAAAGTCTGCATCAAATGTAGAACAATGTAAAGTATAAACAAATATGTGCATAATTTCTCTACCAAAATAAAACTTATGCCTTTCATACATTGCCAAAATGAGAGTACACACTACAAAGGAACATTGTCCTTGTTTTTTTTTTCTTCTTTTCGGAAAAGAAAAACACGAGGAGATAACAAATACTATGTAAAGAATAATATCTTAATCGATTGTATGCAATACATGATGAGAAAAATGGATGCCATGTATGAATTTGCCGATCAACCAAGTAAATCATTTGCGCGAAAATAGACAGCAGCATATCTGCATGGTATTTAACAAAAATGTAATGCTGATTAGAAATAAGAAGAGTTAAAGTAGTGTGATTATTGTTTACCGACAATGAAATGAAAAGGTGAATGTTAGAGCTCAACCCAAAAGATCGGCTGATAGGTGGAAGAGCTCCTAGGTTTAAATACCACATTTGGTGAGTATGAGATTTCGGTGTAGGATCTTAACATTGCACTCCCCTTCAAGAACCGACGTCAACAGCGGCTTTCACTCTATCGACACTGACCCAATGGTAGCATTTTCCCCTTTTGGGCGGTTTCACTCATTTATCAGTCATTCAATGCACATTGCACCTTAATCTAGTCTATAGGTAGCACTTTTCATAGCCCAACTCTCAACAAAGAACACTAATGTTAGAACTCAAGCTCAAAGGAGAGCTCAACTCAAAAGACCGGCCTGATAGGTGGAAGAACCCTAGGTTTAAGTACCACACTTAGTGGGTATAAAATCCCGATGTGGATCCTAACAGCGAACCTCTTGCAAATTGTAAAACTGACAAGAAGCACGAGCAGGTTTGACATGGTTACCTTTGATTTGGAGGGAGAAGCTGCAGTATTTCTCTGACCATCTGAATGACTGCCTGCTTGTGAAGGCACAGTTGGGAACGTGGTAGATGCCTTTTGCTTCTCCTCCTTCACTTTGTTGAATATGACAGTAAAACCTTCACCCGATTTCGGGTCAGTTTCATCCCAAGCCCCAAATTTGGGTACAGATGCTGTTCTATGATGCCGCTGCCACCCATTAAAATCAACAAAATCAGATATAAGTTGCAATTGTGAAGCAAATCTATTGAATCATCATTGATAACTGATTTCAATTATAGATTCTTACTAGGAAAAAGGTAAAGTAAATGTTTAGATCTCTAATTGCGTGTAGAGAAACCCAAGCTTTCGTTTAATGGTTTCATAGAGAAAAAATTCAATTTCATGATTGGTTTTTTCTTCCTATCATCTGATAACCAGTATATCTTTATGTGTTTATAGTATGCACTATAACAATAGCAGATAATAGACATACTTTAGATGCTTGACTAATAAAAACCTGTAGCCTCTTATGTAAGCAGTTAGAAAAGAAGTTTACAGTTTCATCAGAAGGATAACTTCCACTTCTCTGCCTGGTGTGTCCTTGTACTGGTGGAGAGAAGCTGTTACTTCCTTCGCCGGGACCCTTCTTTCGATCAGATTTTAAAGGTCTGTGACCAGGCTGCGGATGTGAATAATCAGAATGGCTTTTATCGTTACCAGATTCTGACCTGACGCTCTTCTGTCTCCCTTGAGGATTGTGCCCCGAAATATTGTGTTTTTCTACTGAAATGTACTTATCAGAATCAACATAGACAGGCGTCTGAACTGGTCGGGAATCACCATCACCTTCCAGGTCTCCTCTCCCATACATAAACGCCTCAGGATTCTCCTCTGGATCATTTGGGTTCATCCTCATGCCTGCTTTCTCTTTGCGTGCATTCTCGAAGTAGGTTGTGTATGGGATATTATCTTTCTCCCAGTTGCCAAATTTTGGGACATGAGAATGTTTCTGCTGCCAAATCAAGCACAATGTGAAAAAGAACTCTAAAAACTGAACTCATGACAGCAAAGAGATGCTTAAAACCAAATTTCACTAGTGTCCGGGGACACTTCATATTAATGCATGCATTTAGAATGATTAGAAAGAATAATTTAAGTCCTAAATTTAATGGACTGGTAAGACCATGACATAGCACTACATGGATATAAAAAATCAGTCTTTTCCGGCTTTCTATTTGCATGATTTGAGCTCAATTGGAATAGCAGAGAATCTCAAATGATCAAATACTAAATGTATTCAGCCAAGTAGAATCTCATTCCTGGTTCACCAACCTGTTCTTTTTGAGACATAATACTCTCACTTGCTATGAATGCTACAAGGATCCCATCAACGCAAACAAAACCAAAGAAAAAAGCATATAGATTTGGGCAGCTTCACAAGAGATTCATCCTAATTTGTTTTTTGAGAAACTGATTCATAGTTCTCCCTTGAATTACAAACACAGCTCTAAACACTTCCAGAAATTGCTGGTCATGCATATTTAAGTCTCATTTATGTTCCATGGTGCCATTCCATTTACGTTTTCACTAAGTTGCAGCTACTCATCTACTTGGAATTATTAGTTGAGCAGAAAGCAGTAATTAGAAAGTAAAAGAAAACACCTAAATCAAACCCAACCATAAAAAGAACCGGTGGGGTTAGTTGCTGTTCCCACCAGCATTTATTCATCACAGAAACATTTTTAATCACATACATATACAAATTCTAATCAACAAAAAATGAAGCAATTCTATTCCATGTATCAGCTAAAACAATATCATAATCCAAAAAGCTTATTATAAGAACACTTACAGCCATTACTGAGGAAGATCACAGCTCTGGGAGAAGAGAAACAATAAGGATGAAGATGGGTTTGGACCATTTTGATCAGGTTAAACGTTTTCCCCCGGAACTTCCAAGGCTTGAGACAATATTTCGATGGTCACAAAGTTAATGTAGCCAATGAAAGTGATTAACATAAAAAATCCAATAATCAAAGTCCATTTCATTCAAAGATACCGAATATTTTCAAGGATTTAGCATGAGTTGAGCCTTTTGTCTTCCTCTCTACAGCATCTTCTTCCTTGTCTCTACTCTCCAGTCTCTAGTCTCCAAACCATGGACTTTCCAACTTCCGCCAAAGTCTAAATTACGTTCACACTGGAGCTGTCGTTTGACACGTCAGAATATATACTTCTATAGAGCCTTCAAAGGGGTCAAATTTGTTTTTGTAAGATGTATTTTAAATACCCCCTGAAAAATCCGCTAGTTTGAAGAGTCCCAACTTAATCGGAACATATCAAATAACCCCTTGACGGTAAGGAAGGCTGCACACACTCAAAAGAGAACATATTTACTTCAAGAAAACACTGAAAAATTCAGAAGCAATATGAAAGAACTGAAACTTGGACGCCACAACTTTTAGGAAGCTGCTGAGCTTTCTCAGGCTTAACCCCGATAGCTGTTGCAACATATTTGAAGCAATGGCACAGGTCCTGGCGATCTCTAGTGGTTTTAGAAGCGAGGTCACTTCTTTTACGCCTGATCGGCACTCCGAAGACGGCGTGGGGACGTCGCCACTTGCAAGAATTTAAGGCACGGCATCAAAGCCGCCACAGCATTTTCGCACGTTATTGCTTGCGCTGAGTTTGCACTCAAAACCGCCACTTTATTAACCCTAAAGCCAGTAATATGGCATATTGAGAGTTCATTTTCTTCTCCATTGATTTTACCTGGTTTTTTTGTGAGGCAGCAGTAAATATATGCGATTTTAGTTTCATTTATAGGGTTTGTGTAATGCATGCACCTTTGTATTTACAGTATACTCAGTTGTGAATTTGCAAATTTGGAAGGCTGACTACGTGAGTTAATGGCTCTTTAATTGTGAGATCTGTGCACTCTCTAAAACTTTAAAATGTTAATCATGGAGCCCTTAAAAGTTTTCAGGTTTCATATCTGATACAAGTTTATTGATAAATAGTAGACAATTTCTCAAATCCTGTATTAAGTTAAGCTTATAGTATTGATATTAACGGTGAAATATGATTCAACAAGCCCCAAATTAAGAAAATAAAGTTACATCCACAAGCCGTGAGAAGGCAGTCATCAGGTTTATACATGAGAATTTGAGAAACAAATATGATGATGTGATCACCTTCAAGCTAAAAGATGGTTCTTGAATCTTGAGATTTCACTCCCATATGTACTTGGTATAAACCTTGTGGGGTTTTGCAGTAAATGGAACTCCAGCTTTGTTACAGTAAACTTCACCCATCTCCCTCTCTCTCTCTCTCTCTCTCTCTCTTCATATAGTAACATGATCATTTGCAGCAACTGTGGCACAATAAAGGTGCCTCGCTATCTCTGCTGTCAACAGATGAATGTAGCCCCATTGCAAGCTCGATTTCTGCACCTCAGTCTATCATATTCATGTCCAGCTCACTGGCAAACAAAAAGAAAAAACAATGGTAAATTCAGTGAAGAGTATCAAAAATATAATTCAGCATAAACAGAAACATAATTTCTCTCAGAGGAGAAAAAGATTGAGAAATACCAAGTGTTTTGTTGAGCAACCAGAGTAAAAGAGCTAGTTGAATCCCAAAAATGGTGTGAAGCCATGTTCTGTCTAGCATAAATCCGTAAACTGTAATTCCTGCTTTATTGTTTTCCAGATACGTCACTGCAACAAAGGCGAACAATTTGATAATTAGTATTATAACTCCAACTTATGCAGAAAGTAGACAAGGAATCTGTTTTCACTGACCTAGAGCTTGCCTCTTCTGAAAAGAAATGGTATTTGCATATATAGGATACATCCTGGTGTTATCAAGATCATCTTCATCTCCTTCTCCTTCTTCATCATCTGATATGCAATAAGCATCGACCGGAAACACTTGGGAGGAACCATTCTCAGCTGTTGGCGTCTCACCGTCCAAGTCATCAAAAGAGTTGATTGTGGCACAAACATGCCATTTTGCAGCAAGGCTTGTAATGGACTGTGCTTTATGTGTAATCTTCGTTGCACTTCGTAGGCATATGAAGAGTCCTGTCACCAGGCTAATGGAGCACAACTGCATCAAATTAAGGGTTCAATCATACATTTTAATAGGGCAACTACCATATAAAGATTAACAGATTGTTAATTACAATGAAAGGAGCATGAGAAGGAAGACTTACTGCCAGTTCTCCAGCCTCAAATATGTTGTTATTGGCACTGGACCGGGTGGTCATAAGTAGTGAAATGAACTGACTAGCTGTGACCAAAAGTAGAGACAACAAAATGAATCTCCGGAACCTATGGCTTATAACTCTAAGATTTCTTTTGATCCTGAGGTGCTCTTTCAAGATTGAACCAACCTCAGTTTCTTTTTGAAAAACTTGAGCAAAGTCATCCATTTTTATAATTTGCAGATAGCAAATCAGTTGGTACAAAATGCAGGCAAGAATATAAATCGATATCCGATAAAGCCAAGAAAGGAGTTGCAATGTGCATGCAATAATGTCACTGGCATAGAGGTTAATGTAATAGGGTATTTCTGAAGCTCCTGTAGCATACCACCAGATTCTGTAGGCACACTCGAATGTAAAACAGGGGAGGACAAAAATACAGAGGAGCTTCATTGATCTCTGCAAGAGTTATAAAATTCACATTAATATTGATAAAATAGAATGACCAAGATCAAAATTTCATCCATTCACCTTAAACCATATGATAAAGTGGCTTGGATAGAATTCACTCCCAAAAGCTAGCTCAAGAAAGGAGGGAGTCCAACCACATATATACACCGTAACAACCCCCAAACTTGACGACGTGGGACAAATTCAACTTCAGTACCACAGGGCATCCTAAGAAACAATAATGCATTAATGGAAATTTTTTGTATTTCTCTTTTGGTGCCAGTTGTGATACATGTTATTGTTCATATTACAAGTCAATTCATGTGATCAGGATTCAGGAAGCGCATTACCTTCGTGTTCCTTTTCTTCTACTAACTGTAATTAGCCCCTTTGAATGCCAATTTCATCTTAAATCCAATGATAAAGAGCAATTCTTAAGTCCCAAAAGTTGCTATTCAAAGAAAAAAAAGTTCCTTCTTACTAACTAACTAAAAGGAGAATCTGATGATGGAATATAATTTGCTTGAATTATGAGAACCCATATGGCATTTTAATGGAAATTATTTGAAGGCTTCAAATTCAACAAATTCATATGGAAAAAAATAAGAAGGGGAGAAGAAACATACTCTGAGTTGTGCTGCATATCCTTGTTTAACCCTTTCACTTTCTTCAGGCAGTTTATCAAGGAACAAGAACCGATTAACTCCATACTTGCGAGCCCAAGAAGAGAGGCTTAAAAACGAAATCGTCGCAAAAACGGAAAGAGACAATTGCACGATCGAGTCATAAGGTCTCTGGTGTTTCTTATCACATGTTGAACACAGAAGAAAAAAATGTGACACAAGAGGAGAGCCAATGGCAAGAAGAAAAAAGATCGACCACGAAAGAATAGCTTTCCAAATGTTAGACTGATCAACACAAACCCATTTGAGACAAGAGGTAAAGCTCTTCAATTCAACTCCCGGGTAATCTAAGTGGGTAAAAGTTGCCCTGTTTCTGGAGATGACGAGAGATCGGCTTTCATCTTCCATAGTTTAGGGAACTTGAACTTTATGGAAGTGGTGAGAATCAGAGCCTTGGCAGAATACATATAAAGAAAAAGCGGAGTCAGCTCAAAGGTTGCTTCAACCATCCCTATATATCGAAAAAATTTAAGTAGTTTATTATTACGTGAATGATGGAACTTTGTCGAGTTGGCTGTACGACGTGAGCCATGGCTAACCAGTCTTTGACGCTTGTTAGGTGAACTGGCAGTGCAGTACCATTTCCAATCACTGCCCCACACCAAATAACAGTATGGTACCGCGTGATGCGGTAACGTTACCAATCATAAGCAAAAATGGTAAACAAAAATGTGATCACCTACCCTCACATGATGCAAAGGGGTGCCTTTCTCTTTAGATCTCCATCTTTTACTCATCAAGAGAGAATCATGTGATATTTGATAAGCAGTTCGTCTTCAGAGTTGGGTCCAAAACGACATGTCTCATCCTTATAGGTAGATGACGTGGACAGAGATCTACCGTTGAGAATTGTTGACTACACAGCTCATAAATTATGACACAAGTAAGGTCGGTTTTGGTTCAAGCCTTTTAAGGCACTTTGATTTTAGACTTTAAAGCATTAAGTAATTGCAACTTTGCTTCTCCTGGTTTGTTCCTCTAAAGTCTAAAAATGGAAAATAATACAGCAACTGAAGAATGCGTATTAAATTTATGCTGGCGCCACGTTATTTGATGTATGAATTTGGTGTGTATTCTTTGATAACTATAGTATTGCTTGTCTAAAAATATGTTGTTTTTAATGTCATTCATTTATCAAGTTTAATTAGCCAAACTAAATTTTACATTGTCTTTCCATTTAGAGCAAATTCTACATAAAAGCCACTATCACCCACTAAAGTAGAAAAAAAGGGAGAATGAAGTAAGTTTTTCCATCCGAAACGTTTCAAAAAAACAATTTTCCATCCACCGTTAAGATATGTTAGTTAAATTTGTTAACTGAAATGGTACAGTCATTATATGGACGAAAATGTCGTTTATTATTTGACTTTATACGTAATTTTTAATAATGCTAAATAACATTTTCCCACCCAAACCTTATTAAATATACTTTTCAACGTAGTTTGGTTTATATTACTTTTAGGGTTAATAAATTAAAAAAAAATAAACTCAGATATTTAAAATAAACCGTGGACTTGTCGACAGCGGTTGTTAGCGACACAACTAGTGTTGTAGGGTAGATTGTTGGACAATCTATGCAACGACACAAATGAGGAAGCCATTGGTGATGGCTATTCCCCAAAAAACGTTGGAAACTATTTTGTGAAATTCTCTTCGACATCTTTTTCGAGAGAAACGGCTTCTCCAAGGGACTCCTCATTTACATCGTTGGATAGATCCGCGACTAATCTTATTTGGCGGCAACATTGGTGATGCCAAACTCATCGTTGGCGACTGAACCTAGATCCTCTTGACGACAATTGTCAAAGAACGGCTTCACCAAGGGACTCTTCTTTTGCACCGTTGAATAGATCGCTAGACGATCTATCCAATGGCACCAGTGGTGTGGCCAGAATCACCACCATAGATTGGACCCAGATCCTACCGAACGCGGTTGGTCGACGTCCACACTGGCCAGTTTTTTTATTCTTCACAATTTTTTTTTTTTTTAAAGTTAATAAAATAAAATGAAATTGTAGATAGGGGTTTAAATGGCTATCCCAAGTTGGTGAAGGCAATTTAAGTGCTTGTAATTTAGGGGTGTGAGTAATAGTCCCCTATAATAATATATTTTCGCAAACGGACAAGAATCACCTTTTACCGTTAAAATTAACATTTGAATTTTAACAATGGGTGGGAAATTATTTTTTTGAAACGGCTTCAGGTGAGAAAACTTACTTTGGGTGGGAAATTGCCATTCTCCATAGTAAAAAGACAGTTCTGTTATGTGTAGGTACACTTTGGCCAATGAAGTGGTGCTTCATTGACAGCTTGCCGGCATATCTCACATTTTATAATTAGGATGTAAAGTGTATACACTTCTATTGATGGCTCAACATTCAGTAGTTTGACCAAACAAAGTATATCGTATTTCCAGTAAAGCTTTTTAATTGGTACAATTGATATTATTAATATAAAAATTTGTATAAGAGTTACCGACTTTTTCCACCCAATAAAGTTAATGACGTATTTCATTCACAAACTTTCAAAATATCACTTTATTACTCAAGTTTATATCCAACAATAATAAAGAGTAAACTTGACCTAAACTGTTAGAACTTTTGAAAATGGGAGGTCGATAGTCTTTTAATGGTGAAAGGTTGAATTTGGTGATTAGATGATTGTAATTTGATTTAGGATGGGTGACTGTACAAGCCTTAATCACTCGAGTCGACGATTGGTAGGGTTGGCGAAGTAAGGTTGAGGGGTTTCGGTGAGTGATGATCGGAGAAAAAATTATGGTAGTGTGGGGTCACAATAATGCCAGAATCAGAAATAGAATATTAATTTAGCTAATATAATGATATTTTAAAAGTTTGTGGGTGAGAAAGTGTCGTTGAGCCATTTTTGAGTATGGAGTGGGAAAAGCGTCTACTCTTGTTAAATATTGAAAGTTTTGGGTAACACTAATTTAATCCGATAAAACTGAACTACCCAGTTCTATTGACCGACCCGGCCTGCCGGCCATTCGGTCGGCTTCGGGTTAGATATTTGTCGAACTTCCAGTGGACAGAAACGAAGATTATCCGCCCACGCCCCCCAATCCGCCATTGTTGCCAAACTGTAGGACAAAGTCTTCGCCTGAGAATCTCTTGTACTAATTCTCACCGTTTTCTTCTAAACACCTTTCATTTCAACTAATTTTTCACTTTATATGTTAAAGCTCGGTTTCTTCCATTGAAGAGAAAAATGTCGGCAACTCTCTCTTTAACGTTTCTGCCACGACAGCAACAGCCTCGTCTCTTAAGCTGAGAAATTGTAAAAGCTTAGCTTCTTTAGCTCTAATAGTTCTTTGCGTTTCAATCTCCTCTCTTCGCCTCGATCTCTCTCCAGGTTTGCTTTTAATTTTATTCCACGAATTGGTATTCTCTCCCTACTGTCAAACTTGAATTTTAATCGTATTCGAATTTGTCTCATTTAGAAAGTTGTATCGGTTCAGGCGACAGTTCTGCAAGATGAAGAAGAGAAATGTTGTTGTAGAGGAGTCGTTTCAACCGAAAAGTTTCCCTGAGATGCGGAGAAAAGAAAGCCGCGGGAAGTCTGCTGAGGATTTGTCATGGATTGTCAAGTTTGAACAATCTATCAATATTTTTCTTACGGTATATTACAATTTCTCTTATTTTTCTTTTACGGCTTATTGAGGCGTTGGTGTTTGATTATGAACTCTCTTAATCATTTCAGGATTCGGTGATAAAATTCTTGATACTGTGTACCATGAAGAGATTATGCTAGGTTCTTTGTATTGGAAACTATGCAAGAGTTCCTTATTTTGGTGAGTGTTGATGCTTTAATTTACTACTAGTGCTATTTGTTGATTAAGGATTTGTTCGAATTAGCTTCTCCAATTATGTATTGTACTTGATTAGGGGAAATTAGCGTGTTGGTGAAACCTTGCGGGTTCATCTTTTTGTCTACTGAGTAGCTAAAGGACTTTTGATGGTGGTTGTGTACTTGTATTGCGATTAGTTTTGATTTGATGGCAATTTATTGTTTTTATGCAGCTTTTTCTCGGTTCTGCATTTGTATGAGAGTTTTGGTTGGTGGAGACAAGCGGATTATTTGAAAGTCCTTTTGCTGAGAGCTGGAATGAGATGCATCACTGCTTATCATGGAAGTAAGATTTTTAAATGATTATTCCTAACTTTTTTAGGTTTATATACTTAATGTAATTTTTTAAGTCAGACAGTTCATTTTAAGAGGCTTGCACTGTTACTTATGGCAGGCAGCCTGTGGTTTTTCTCCAAAATCCACATTCGTTTTTGCCGTATCCAGTTCTCTATCCATGATACATATGTTGGGTGAAGTTTCCCAAACCCAACTAAAGAAGCATAACATCGGTGAAGTAAAGGCAAGTGTAAAAAGATTGAGGTTGAGGAGGAAAGTGACATTGCCAATGAGAAACGTATGGAGGCCATTTTAAACCATCTTCTTACTAACTTGCAAACACATAACCTAATAGTTGAGGAGGAAAGTGGACATTGCCAATGAGAAACATGATGGAGGCCATTTTAAATGACCATCTTCTTACTAACTTGCAAACACATATAACTAATAGGGTTTTGGTAGATATCTTTACTTAGTTTACCCCAGCCACCTATTTAATGTAGGCTCCAAAACAGTCTGAAATATTTTGATTTACTACAGTTGCTTAGTTTCTTGATCGTGTAGGCATTTGATTGCAGGAATTGGGGGGAAATTCTTGGTGGTTCGATCGCTTTCTTGCTCAACATATAGCAGTCTTTTATTATTTTATGACAGTGTTCATGTATGCTATAAGCCCAAGAATGGCATGTAAGTTCGTATACTTAAATTTAACTGTATAAATACATATTCCCAGAATTTTATTTCATACATCATTGTCCTGCTGGTTTAGTTTTCTGAATGGTTGTAAGAACTTTTGTTCTATTTTGAGCCATTATGTTGAATCAAGTAGACAAAATTTATGCGAGTTTATTAATTTTTGGCCTAGAAAAAAGGGGTCTTCACTTATTTATTCCCTATCATCATCTGAGATTACTGGACAAATGCACACAAATACTACAAAGTAGTGTTGTAGGAAGGTGATTTAAGAATAAGCTTTCACAAGATTGTACCATCTACAAATACAGAATTTAAATAATTTGGTTGGTTCATCACTTCTGCAGATCACTTTTCTGAATGCGTGGAGAACCATGCCTTTGAAACTTATGACAAATTTCTCAAGGCCCGAGGAGGTAAAGAGTTTTGACATATTTGTAGCTTCAGTTAAGTTTCATTTGTGCATGTCTTGCTTGTTGACATTACGGTAAAAGCACAAAAAGATCCCCATTATTTCTAGCTTATAAACTCATGGTTAGTATTTTCACATTGTGCACTTGGGAGGCCCCCAATGCAATAGGACTCTTGGTCTTTGGCAGTAGAGAGTTTCTTTTGGCAAACATCTTGCAGTATGAAATAGAGAGATCAAATTATTTTTTTAATACATATAGCATTGTAGTATATCTTTACTAATATTGATTTGGTCTGTTTCTTCTCTTTATAGAGGAGTTGAAAGGGATGCCTGCACCAGAGGTTGCTGTTAAATACTATACTGGAGGTGATTTGTATTTGTTTGGTAAGTCTGGTCTTTTTACAATCTATAGCTCTGTCATTTAAAGTGAGATCTAGTTTTAACATGTCCTTCACATTCTGTCCAGATGAATTTCAAACTGACAGAGTCCCCAATACTCGAAGACCAAAAATAGGTAAAGAACAGAATCTGAATTTTTTATGTAATGTTAGGAAGTAGCTTTCAATTTCTACATTATACTAATAGGTAGGGATATATGTATGTTTTATTTGGTGTAAATTTGACTTGAAGACATCATTAATGAGTCATTTCCTTGTATAGCTACAAGAATTTCATTATTTTTAAGAAGGATGAATAACAGTAATTGATATCAACAGAAATCGCGGTGCCTCTTTCTGATTTATTTTTTTGTTTTCAGAGAATTTGTACGATGTGTTTGTGAATATCAGAGATGATGAAGCCGAACATTGTAAGACAATGAAGGCTTGTCAGACACCTGGAAACCTTCGGTCCCCTCATTCTTATCTGGAGGATGACTCGGAAGATGAGTCTGGTTGAGTCATTTCTGGAGCCGATTGTGAAGGAATTGTAGATTGTATATAGAACTCTGTTGCATCTCCTCCATCGAAGCAGACTTAAAACAGTTTAGAGAAAAAAGAATGAAATATTCACTTGAAATTACCAATACTGGTAGAGTTGTATATGTAGAAACAAACAGTATAGATCAAATGTATTATGTATATTGACAATCAATAAATGCAGGTTGTTGAAAATTCATGTGAAGGAGATTACTTTAAATTTCCTTTCTTATGGTCCCTCATTATTAACAAGCTCATTATTTTCACAGGCCGGCATTCCAGTATGTTCTGCTTGATTGCTACAGGTGACACCGTCACCAACATTTATAACCGTGGGGGTCTCGCCGTACATCAGTGATTTGGGTCCACGGCGATGAGAGACAATATTTTGGGTGATGTATACTCTGTCCTTGGTAAGTTTCTTCTCACATCACATTGAGGTTAATTAATAATTATTGAAGCAACCAACTCCGTTGAATGTGGTTGAACTTATATCAATTGTAACTTGTAATTTGTTCCTCAGAAATCCCACTTTTGTCAAGTTTTATATATGAATTGACATGTCGTGTCATGTATGGCCTCTTATTAAGTTATTAGCCTTAAATTAACTGATAATCAAGTTTTATATATGAACCTAATATAACGGTGTTAAGATCGACAAAGACAAACGGTTGATAAATAATATATATAAAAAAAAACAAAATTAACTAACCAATGGACAGATTTTTTTTTTTTAAAAAAAAAACCCCCAAATTTGGGTATTTTCCCTTGATGTGGATCAAATATGTTATGCCCAAAAAATCAGGGCTGACATAGGCGTGTGTCAGTGAGGACCAATCAAAGTTTAGGAAGTCATTGTATCGTTCAGGTGCTGTCATGTCGTCCAAGGACAGAAGAAGTAAGATTGTTATTAGCTTAACAAGTAAAGGCCTGGTATGTGAGTGGCTGGGAGTTATCCACCTGTCCAAACCTTGCGCAATTTAAGAATATCTTCCGTGCAATCGGCCAACAGGAAACAGGGTAGGAATTGTACGGTATCTGCCTGCTAGTAGCTTCGTAATTATTATCCAGAAACATTTTACTATAAATAGAGAGATCCCATCTTATTTTTCGAGATTCGAATTATGATAAGATAAGCACTCTCTCTCCCTTTCTGTATTTCTGTTTTTTCTAAATTGATATTTATGACTTGATTATAATCTTTCATTTATTCCTCATAAATCCCACTTTTGTCAAGTTTTATATATGAATTGACAAATCGTGTCATGTATGGCATCTTATTAGCCTTAAATTAAACTGATAATCAAGTTTTATATATGAACCTAATATAACGGTGTTAAGATCGACAAAGACAAACGGTTCATAAATAATATATAAAAAGAAAAAAAACCAAATTAACTAAATTTGGGTATTTTCCCTTGACGTGGATCAAATATACACACACAAATAATAGAGATACAAGGAAGGAAATACGTAAGAGGTAGAGGTATCTGCTAGAATCTCTACTATTCTAGCATGTTGGAGTTACCAAATGATTCAGTGCTTCAATTAAAGCTTTCTTGCTGACCTGCCACATGGTTAAGAGATATTTGTTGGTCAGATTAGGCCTGATAAGTGTTAAAATATCTAGCGACAGCAATTTAATGCTTCCTTTCTGTCGTCATAAAGACAGCAATCAAACTACAAAACGAGGAGTGCGTTCTGATAGTTATGCCGGTTTGCAAGAGCAGACCAAACTCATTAATGCCAACTGCTAGTTAAATGAATACGTGGCATGGCCATGAATTTCTCGCCTTCTCATATTTACCCGTGGCGGGGGTAGGTAATTAGATAGTTCGGCCGAATTGAAATAGTATAGATAAATAAACGATCTAAGATTTGATTTTTTATATGAATATTTAATAATGATAATAGGTTAAAGAGATTTTGTCTGAGCTTATAAAAATTAGTAAGTATTATAAGCTAATTTTGACTTATAATATTTGAAATTTTAAGTTCAAACGTATTTGGTTAAAATATATATAAGTGACTGATAAGTATTGACATATTTGATAAAATATAGTTATAAGTACTCATTTTATAAAATGACTAAAAAAGGTACTACATTAAATAAGGATATAGTATAGAATTTTAAATTAAACAAGGATAATGTAGTAATATATTTGGTCAAACTAGCTTATAAGGAGTGCTTATAAGCAAAAAAAAAAAAAAAAAAGTACCTCCCCCAAACATTTTTTTTGGCTATAAGCTCAAAAAGTTATAACAAACAGGTCAGCTTAATTTTAGAGCTTATAAGCTAGTTTGATCAGTTTATAAGCTTAGAAACACCCTCTAAGTTGGGATTGAGTATTCCTTGGTCTAGGTCTAAACCTAATCTCATAACAAAGGTCTAAGCTTGGTCGGACCCGTCACGGGTCTGACAAGTAAGGTCCAAGCCTAGTCTGGGTCTACACGGATATGGTAAGTAAACCCAAGCCTAGTGATAGGCTTTTTGTAACCTCAGGCTCGCCCAAGGTCGCCCATTTTCATAATGTGATTTTTAAATATTAATAAATTTAAATTTTTTTTTATATTTTTAATTCTAGAAACAATTTTAAATATTAATTTATTTTTGAATACTCACCAAATATATAAATAACTTTTCACAAAGTGCATCCATCTATCCAGTAAGGTTTTGGAAAAATGAGTATATATATGTAGGATAATCTTGTAATTAAATATATAGTATAAGGGTATTTAGTATAATTAATACTAAAATTGTTGGGTAGGACGGGCCTGAAGACATACCCAGGGCTGACCCATACCTAGGTCGGGCCTTAAAATCAGGTCTAGCCCAAGCCCAAGCCCAAGCTCAGCTCGCGAACATCGCGATAAAGCTTGACCTTTAGGACTATTATCCAAAAATACGGACCCATTATCATTTCTATGAGCATTCACAATTTAAGCGAGGATTGTTTGTAATAGTGGATTCAAGTTACTACGTAATCTCTTTGAGGATTTAAGTGAGGGGGATTGTGAGAGTAGGTTGTTGTGCTAATGTCTTCCAATGACTAAAGATTAGTTAGACTTAAGTGGGAGTATTGTCGGTGGATTACGATACTAATTTCTCTCGCAGGCTTGTTTTTGATTAAAAAAAAAAAAATCCATTTATAATCTTATACAATTATACTAGCTGATTAAGGATCATCCAGAAGTTTAGTGTTCAAATCCAAGGCAGAGAATTTTTCCGTTTTTTATTGCCAGTCAATTGTTAAAATTCCAGACTTGTCAATTTAACAAAGTCAAAATAGAAAGAAAGGGGGAAAATGGTTTAACGTGGCACGACATGCATTAACTTAAAGAAAACGATTCGATGAAAATTGCCCGCCTAACTGGGCCGTTTTCACCCTCATAAAACATCTCTCTCTCTCTCTCTGTTTCTGTCAACGAACCATTCTCTTATTGTTATAAAACCAAACCAAACCTCTCTGTACACAAACTCAGCATCATCTTCATTCCTTCACTTTTCTTCTCCTTTGCATGAAACCGACTAAAATAATTTAAAACAAAAGAATTTTTTTTTTTAAAAAAAATTTATATTAAGCTTCTGAATGGTGGAGTCCTCAATGGTTGGCTTTCTAGTTCCAGCTGTGAAATCGGAACAACAGCCTCCGTCACAGGCGGACGCGCCGTCACAACCGATGCTGATGGCGGCGGAGGAAGAGGCGGAGACGGAGACCAACAAGGATACCTTGTGTCCGATATGCATGAGATTATAAAGGACGCGTTCTTGACTGCTTGTGGACATAGTTTCTGTTACATGTATTTTCACTCATTTGAGAAACAAAAATGACTGTCCTTGTTGCGGTTATTTCTTAACTACCAAACATATTTTCCCTAATTTATTGCTCATAAGGTTAGTTGCTCGCCATTTTCATATCATTTCTATAATTTTACTTATTCTCATAATATTTTTCTGAAATTTTTTCCGGTTAGTCTCTTGGCACGAGGAGTCGTGTAAAAACATTTGTATTTTAGCAGATTTCTTCCGCGAGCTGACAAATAAGTATTTTGTTGTATCTAATGCATTGAATTTCAATTTAATTTTGAAATGGATGTTGTAGCTATTGAAGAGAACGTCTGCTGCTCAAGTAGCGAAGTCTGTATCACCAGTTCAACATCTACATCAGCATTGCAACAGGTCAGTATTATAGGCAAAAATGCAATTAGATTTTAGTTAGTTAATGTGGATAATAGTTTAGATGTATTGTCTAATGTTTGTGTTCATGTGAACTTGTAAGGTTTTTTTTTTTTTTTTTTTGGGTTGATCACCGGGTGTCCGGGCCAGCTTGCGTGCCTCAACTACTCCTAGGGCCTTGAAAGTCCGATGAGATAATCCTTCTATGGTCACCCCTATTAGCACAGGAGACTCAAACTCAGAATCTCTTTTTTATTTTGTCATCAGGTCACTCAGTGGTGGTTAGGACTTGTAAGTTGTTGGTGTGATTGGTTGATTCATTTAATGTAGTGATTCTTTGTTCTGATTCTTAGACAGGGCTGTGAGGTGTCAGTTAAGGAGGTAGATGGCCTATTGGCTTTACTTGAGGAGAAGAAGAGAAAGATGGAGCAAAAGAAGCCCAGACCAACATGCAAATTCTACATGAATTTTTGTATTTTCTGCGGAAGCAAAGCTTGAAGAGCTCATGAGGTTAACTTTAATATTTATGTGGATTAGATTAGTAGTTTTTTTAGATCAACATAATGTTGAAGCAGTTTAGAAACAAATATTCTTAGTGTCAGCTATGAACTTTTGCTCATTGAACAATTGATTGATGGAGTCTTGTTATGTTTTCTATTGTAATTATTATCTGTGCTATATTCTCTTATTGGATCTTCTGTTGGCTTGACTTGAGTTTTTGTTTAGCTCATTTGATTTTTTTTTGGTTACTTGGTCTATTCATCTTTTGTAGATTCAACTGATCTTCAGAGCATTAGGAGGCATACTGCTGACATAGGATCCATGGTAGAGGGTCTCGCGGCTCTGATGGTCGTGCAACGTTCTGTCTCGACTAAAAGAAGATAGAAAGCAGCTTCCGGCCCCTGTCAGGTGTCTCGTTTCTCTTCACCGTCGCCCTCCTGACGCATGTCAGTCGCATGGTCCTTGGGACCAAGAAGACATCAAATGTTTTTCTCCTGGTGCTCCTTCGCCCCAGGGGACGT